TATTTTTCAAGCAATGATGTAAATAATGTAAAATGAAAGATTCATATGGATTTAAATTTTAGTTTTCAATCCACTTACGCCCATTTTTGAAACACATTTTCAACCCACAGATTCCGAGCACTACTCCAATCCCCCAGATCAATAGCTGGTTTAGTAAAAGCACTTTATAGATTTTTGTGGGGATGGCAATGGTCTGATTCCGGCCATCTACAATACCGACCTATACCAAGTTTTATCGCAATATCTCAATTTTTACGCAAGTTATTGTTTGCTGGGACGAATGGATGGACAGACAGTCCACTGGAATTCAGATCCCGCCACATGCTGCTGTGGCTATGATATACATTAAATACTATTATAATAATTACTATAAGAATACAAGGGATTCTACTTGAGGTTTAATTTTGAAAATGATTGATTCAAAATTTGTCAATGGAAAAAGTAATACATTTTCCAACTGGCATTTAACTCAAAATTATAATTACTGTTTTTTAGTTTTGTTTTATAATTCGAAATATAATTTTTTTATTTAAAATTTTAAATAATTCAGATATAAACTATCCTATCTTTTAAGTTAGATCAAACTGAACGCAGGTTCTAAATTTTATTTAAGTCGGTTCAGTAGTTTAGGAGTTTGCCCTGGACGAAACGTAACCTTGGTTTTAAGCATTAGAAACAACTTTTAGAGAGCCTGCAGAGTGGACGCTCAAAGCCGAGTCGAGTGCAAAGCTGGTTTCGATCAGTACTGATCGATTTTTGGTACCACAGAGTGGATGCGAGATCCAGCACTGAATTCAGCACGTACTTTGCTATTATACTGTTCTGTTCTGTTTCTTATTCGTAGCAGTTTATTTTAACCGCAAAGGATTTAGTTCGAATATCATTTTATTTATAGCAAGAAATGTAAATAATTAATGAATGAAGAAGGAAAACAGAAAAATGCCGGTATTTAATACTTCCCGAAAGATTAGGGAATTCCCGGCATAAATGGCTTTGTAAATATAATATTAGTAGCAGGTATTTAATGAATTCTGATGGATAAGGGAGTTCCCGTCATAAATTTTACATGGGAAAATATTAATAGTGGATATTCTAAATATTGTTCTACCACATTCAAAGTAATTCCTTGAAAACATAATATGAGACCAACATACCAACTTGCAAATGAACTATGCAACACTCAAGTCGTCGCCAAAAATCGCCGAAAAATATACGCGCAGAGTTTGAAGCTGATTTCTCGCATTCAACAAAACTATTAGTCGCAATATGTTGCGAGAATACAACAATTATGTTATACAGAAATAGTTCACATAAGTTCACACGTCATCACCCAATGTATATATATATGTATATATATAGGGGTAGACGAAATGTAGAAGTTAGACTTTTCGAGCTGTGGAAATATTAACATACGAACTTCGTTTAATATATATTTAGAGATCTTAGGTTCGAAACTTTCGGTATGTAAGTGGTAATAACAAAGAACACATTTTTTATTTAACTTATTTTCAATGTATGTATGTACGCAATATTATGTTTCACCATTTCTGTTCCATAATAAAGTGCTGATAAATCAATCAGTCTTTGGTTGTTTTTTCAAATCAAGGGGCAAATTCATAATTCCTCCACTGTTGATCATGTAGGTACAAATAATATTAATAATATTGAAATTAATTGTTGTTGGTATAGCTGTAACGTGAATCTTAGAGAGTTTCGTTTGGTCACAAATAAATAAATTGTTTAAAAAACATGTATTTTCTCTTTATTTTATTTTTGGTTACTGAAAGAATTTAGCCGCCACTAGCACGCGCCGTTATTTACATTTACTGGGTATGTGCCCAACCGTTAACCGGTAGTACGTTCACCAAAAGCTTTGCAACGGCCTTCTGTTATAACATTATAAATCTTTAATAATACGAGTATCGCTGACTTTCTTCTCAACTAATGCATTCTTTCACTAAGACGAGTTTCCGGAAACCAATCATTTTTATACTCTCGCAACCTGTTGCTACAGAGTATAATAGTTTTGTTCACCTAACGGTTGTTTGTATCACCTAAAACTAATCGACTTAGATATAGGGTTATGTATACATAAATGATCAGGATGAAGAGACGAGTTGAAATCCAGGTGACTGCCTGTCCGTCCATCCGTCCGTCTGTCCTTCCGTCTGTCCGTCCGTGCAAGCTGTAACTTGAGTAAAAATTGAGATATCTTTATGAAACTTGGTAAACATGTTTCTTGGTACCGTGAGACGGTTGGTATTGCAGATGGGCGTAATCGGACCACTGCCACATTCCAAAAAATGCCAATAATCAAAAACAAATAAATTGCCATAACTAAGCTCCGCAATAAGATGCAAGACTGTTATTTGGTACACATAATTACATTAGGGAAGGGCATCTGCAGTTAAACTTTTTTTTTAAAGTGGGCGCGGTCCCGCCCTAATAGGTTTAATGTGCATATCCCCTAGCCCGCTAATGCTATAATAACACAATTCACTGGAAATAAATATTTTTAGAACCTCTACCTACGGTGTGAAAATAGTTGAAATCGGGTTGCAACTCCGCCCACTCCCCATATAACGGTACTGTTAAAAACTACTAAAAACGCGATAAATCAAGCTCGAAACACGCCAGAGACATTAAATTTTATCTCTGGGATGGTATGAGATGACTTTATAGGAACCGCGTTCAAAATTAGACAGTGGGCATGGCACCGCCCACTTTTAGGTGAAACCCCATATCTTGGGATCTGCTTAACCGATTTCAACCAAATTTGGTGCATAACGTTCTTTTCACATTTCTATGTTATAGTGCGAAAATGGACGAAATTGGACTACAATCACGCCAATTTCCCATCTAACACCATTTTCAATTCCATCTGATTCTTTCACTTTCCACTACGCATATCAAGCAACAATGATTATATCGGGGTAAAACTTTGCGTGAATAATACGTTTAAAGTATGCCACCTTGTTACCAAAAATTGTGTAAATCGAACCAAAAATGTCCCCTAAGTACTATATATGTGGACCTCAGTGCCTATAGTTGACCTTCTACCGTAAATATCAGTCAATCCAGAAATAAATCTCAAACGAGTATACCATTTGACTTTGCGAGAGTATAAAATGTTCGGTTACATCCGAACTTAGCTCTTCCTTACTTGTTGTTTTTGTTTTTAGTAGGAAATAGTTTTTCGGTGCAACGGTCGTACATATGGTAGATGTACCGATTATAAATTATTGTTATAACTTATATTATTTTGGATGTTTCTACCGCTTGGGTGCAACATAAGTAGCAGCGTCCCGACAGCTAAACTAGGCACGTCCCCTCACAAGCACGAAATTACCGACCGCTTGCTAAAAGTAATTCGACTTTGCTAATGTTATTAGCTGACTAATAAGTATAAATTTCGATATCTGGTATAAACAAAGGCATACTCATAAGTATATATTTGTTGGTTATTGATCTTGAGAATTTTATCAAGCAATAGTAATGGATATAGCAATATCCCTCCTTTGAGATTAATCTTAATAGGCCTTTCAATAAGTCACTCAGTATATTCTAAGATAGTTGAAATACTTGTTACAGTTAAAAGCCGAAATACGGCGTTCCTTATCACTCAAATTGAAATGTTTCTGCTCGTTGCTTTCAATTTCCTCATTTCGACATTTGGATATTATGTAAGCAAACAGATTAACTCAATAGCTACGTTGAACACATGTATAGTATTTGAAACTATTACGTACACAGACAAATCTTTGAATATGTAAGTACGTCCGCATTTGCATACATGCATCCATATACTTGTATACATACATACGATATACATGAATAGTCATTTGTAAATTATTATGTACAATAGAATTTAAGATAATATTGGCAAAACAGTTTCCCCACACCCTACACCAGTGCCATAGTATGGTTTACTTTTGAACAATATGGATATATAGGGATTCTGTTAGGTGCGCTAGAGACCAGGAAAAGGAATAAGGCAAGAAGAATTGCCCACTATGTTCATTTATTTGCATGGTTAACCTTTTTCAAGTGTCAGGCACCATGATTCACATACATAAATCGGCATTGGCTTTATGGTAGCGCACTCGAAGCACTGAGCAGCAAATGGAACGCCATATTAATGACGTTGAAAGAAGACACGCGCTTATCAGTCTCTTAAGCGCTTTAACATTAAACATTTGACAAAAACAAAATCGTACTAGTGTCTCGAGCGACCGACCGCTGGTCGACTAGTGGTTTCGTTTGCTCGCCCATTACTACACTTTCAAAGCTGCGAACAGAGCTGACCATGATATAGGTACAACAACAAAGCGCAGCATACACGTTTCGAGTTCATTATGCAAGCGCCACCGCAGCCGAGCAAAAATGCATTTTATAAACGCTGCACACCATATGTAAATAGAACATTCGAATGGGTGCATTGCATGAGGCGACACTCCAACTGTTATATGTTCAATTATAATAAGCAAGTAACTGCCGCCCACGCGGATGTCGACAATACCATTAGTCTACGAAAAGAAACGAAGCAAAGCAAGTTAAGCAAGGTGCTCGAAAGCCTTCACAGAGGAAAGTGGAAACGGAAGTGTGTTTAGTTTAGAAGAGTAGTGATTGCAAGAAAATCAATTGGTGAAAATACAGATTCAAAAATATTACATATACTCGTATAACCAAGGGCACATTATTCGTTGATCAAATTGCATGCTGAAAAAGGGAATTGTGTTACATATTACAGGCGAGTAATTGCGTGAAGACTGAAGACTGATTGCTATAACTAAGTTTCCTTGTACCACAAAAATACTTAGTAAAATGTCTCCAAGTCATTATACAATAAAATGGTTTCTCCTAGAATATATCATATTCACAATTTTGGGATTTACTTTTGCTCGATCCGTGTCAAATGTGAATAATAGACCAACTCCACAATTTGAACCTCATTTTCAAAGTAGTTTGGCATTGCATCCATTCTATTACGATCATCCTAATTCCCAAGCTTATCGGGTGAGTTTCTGTCAATCAAATATTGTGGCATATTAAGATTAATTTAAAAGTTATAAATATTATATCATTAACACAATTTCATTCGAAATATGTAGGAATGAGCAAATTGAAGCGCTAATATTAAACTTATACTGATATATCCTTACAGCCCCATGAACCAGTTGGTACATTTTATGACAGCAAGCGTGGCATATTGCGCTCATTTCCTGGCGGTGGCGTACCAGTGTTGGTCGATCATGTAGGTGTCCAGAAAACAATATTATTAAATATAACTATATCATTATAATTATTTCGAATCTCCAACAGCACAAGCGTTGTTCCAGCAACTTTGTCGGCATTAAACCACATCCCAATCAACGGCAATACTACTACGTTTGCAAGTCCGATTGTGTGATATTTGGAAAGTGTCAAAACCTGCAGGTAAAGCGTGAAATAGCTATGTATATAAAAATGCTTGTGTTTAAACAACAAATAACTTTAATCTAATTTATAAAAGTCGTTCGATGCTACGAAAGCGCAGTGCATTCCGTATCCCACCCCTGACTACACTCCAGTGTGCCTAAAACCCGGCCGCTTTCCCATTTTAACAGATTGCACGATATACTACAGATGTGATGCAGACCTAAAACCACGCATACACTCATGCCCACGAAATACCATTTTTTCGCCGCACAATGAAAAGTGCATATGCGGTGCTCATTGCAATCCAACAAAAGTTTCGCTCCACGGTTCGTATATACCTCAGGGCTGTGAGGACAAATTTCCACCATGTTTGCAAAACGGCACTTTTCGTACGCCCACTGATTGTTCTCTCTACTATACATGTGCTAAGCAAGAAGGGTCGCTCTATCTGCAAATTCGCTTCAAGTATGTGAATTAACCACGGAAGGATAAGTACAACTAAACATATATATACGAATTTCTTTCAGATGCCCAGAACTAGAGTTTTTCGATCCTGCACAGGGTACTTGTCGGCCGCAACATGAAGTCGCCTGCGATTCTATACAAATATCTGATCTAGTATTTCCCAGGCCACCACCACTACCTCAACTTCCCGTAATTTATCCTGCTCATTATTTTATGGACTCATTGGACGATAGTGATTATCCAACGGAATATTCCCTGTCTTGCTCCAAAGAGGGTACGTTATATTACTTGTTGAAAGTGTTACTTCATTTATAATTTATGTATATTTACTTTATTCAGATATAGGCAGCACTAGTGTTAGCTCCAACGAAAGGACAATATCAAATTCTTCTGTACAAACCACCAAATCTTCAAACTTTTCTAATTTATTGACTACAGGAACAACTGAATTCCCAAGTCATTCTATAACAACTAAAGAAGCTTCCTCATTAACAATTTCAACCTCTAAACAAAGGGTTGATACAAGCTCTGCAACTCCTATAAAGTCCTCACTAACAATAACAGAGCCTACAAGTTCTGTTGAAATAAATACACATACAGCAAGCTCATCAACACCGATAGCACCCGTGTTACAAACAAATTTATCGCCAACAGGAACTTCGGATGAAATAATCTTCTCATCAACTTTCAATCCAACTACTCCATCATTAAACCCACCTATTGGGAGTTCTTCTCCTGACATAATTTCAGATCAAACCAGCTCACCAATAGATTTCGTTCCATCGAAAATACAAACCAGTCCTTCTACAACTACGTTTTCATCAACAGCTTCGTCACAAACGAAACATTCTACACCATTTTTCACCTTTGTAACTATGTTACCTACAAACTTCTCCACAACAAATTCCAAGTCAACATCGACTGCTGAAATAACTACAACTCCTTTAGTATTCAGTTCAATAACTCCTTCGTCATCAACAGGTTTTTCAAGTTCTACAGCTAAAGATCGACCTTTACCAACAAAACCTCACACGAGTGCCTCTTTAATAAATACATTGCATATGAGTTCACCGACTGTGCACTCATCTTCCGTCGGAATACTTACAACCAGAACAGTTCCGACTTCCGCTTTCCAACCGCACACTTCCCTTTCCATAACAACTTTATCTTCACTAGATTCCACAACAACTGAACTACCAACGATCCACTCAAGAAAACTATTCGTCGAAAACGCGATAGAAACCTCTATGCCTACTGATCCATCAATACTATCTCCGGCGACTTCTAGTCTAAAGGAAGAAATAATTGCATTGCCTCCAAATACGGCTGCATCTACGACTTTTTCTGTGACAACTTCATCGGTACTAAGGGACTCTCCTCCCTTAAGCACTGTAAAATCTACTAATGAGACTAAAGATAAGCCAACTGTTTCTACCTACTCTTCAGGTATGTATGTACGATAAAAATAACAAGGAAATATTACAATTCCTAACATAAATTATTAGTTATCATCACTTACAAACCCAAAAATACAACAGTAATACGAAACTTTGTAACATTATTACCTCTCCACTAAAGCCATTTATCAACATATAGACATTAGAACTTTCTCAATATTCCTGCCATAGATAAACTTCTACTGCTAATTACAAAACCCGTTCTAAATGGCTACCAATCTATGACTGAACCTCATTTTCGATGAAATGCTCTTTAACTTTTTTTATAATTAATAAATTATCTTCCCTACTAAGGTAGACCATAATATCCAAAATTTAGTGAATATAACTATATGAATATATACCTTATAGTCATTTTAGAGATACTCTAAAGGACGATTATTGTTCTATAAATATAGTGTTGTCGGCAACTGAGTTAGCTGCCCACGTTTTTGAAACTTGCAAAGTCAAAGTTTCCGAAGACTTATAATTAGTTTTATATTCCACACTTCCCCACTCATTCACTACTCTGTCTTCAACACATAATATCCAGATTTGACACAAAATGAAATAATTTCAGAAATAACACCAAATAATGTTACAAATACATTAAACCAAAATGAAATCAGAAGTATAAGATCAAGTTTATTGATCCAGCCAGTTACGTCAAATGAAAGCAATGCTTTTGAACAAACATTCAATACTGAATACAACTCCAATGAATTTGAAAACCTTGGCTACTACGATGACTATGAATCGGATTTAGAAACCACTGAAGTTTCGGCAACAGATAAATTGGATGACAGAAGAAACCCGTTAAATGCATCAGAAAAATCAAAAATTAAAGGTACAGAAGATATGAATCTACACGATGCTAACGATGTCAGTTATTATGAAGAAAATGGAGACTCTTTTGAAGTACTATCTACAAGCACAGTATCTGCTCTCCATGAAGAAACCCTTTCAACGACTCAATCAACAAGATTAAAGCTTAATATTACTGCTCGCTCAACTAAAAGAAATACGCCCAAATACAATTTTCAATTACACAATCAATCCACAACGGACACAGCATATCAGCAATTGAATATTCCACCAAATAAATTGGATGTATTTAACGTAGAAAAACTTCTGTTTAAAAATTCATCTAACTGCAATTTGAATGATGACTTGGAAACTATAACGAAAAAGTTTAACGGAACTCACAATTCCTTCAAAAATATTAATGGAACGCCAAACGATAAAGAACTTTCCAGAAGCACCTGCTCAGATATACCTATATTTGAAGATAGTACCGATGCAGAATTGACTACCGTAGTTCCTAACGTTATCTCCGAAAGCATAGAAAATGCAACTAAGATTAGTTCAAACGAATACGTATTGGGATCAATTGTCAATCTTGCAATAACTAAACCTTTCTCACAAACTGGTTCAAGCTTTAAGACAGATAATAAACCAGAAGACTCAATGAGCACCATACAGCCGTTGAATTTTGCTAATCAGAGCACCGCTACCGAGGTGGAAAGTTTTACAGAAAGTAATAAAGCTGGTTACACTTTCACTTTCAGTAAGTTCCAAACTTCGGCTGAGAACCAAATATCTATGACAGCAAACTCAACAAAGACTGAGCAAGGCAACGGATCAGCGAGTTCGTCAAAGGTCCCTAGTTTAGTGCATGAAAGAAATGATAGCGATATTCCACACACAACAATGAAAACGGTTAAGAAAGAACAACAAGCATTAGCGACAACGGAGCCAACGACATTGAAAATAGCGAGACAGGCTAGGGATGAAATTGACAATACCTTCGAAAGCGATAAAACTCGGCTATCGAAATTGTTGTTAGACAGAAGTAACGAAATTAAAGATTCATGCACACTACTACCCCTAACTCCTTTAAAATTAATAAAATATCACAAAAGTAAAGAAATCGTGGGATTAAACCATAACAACAAAAATTCTATTGACGCTTACAATTCCAAGTTCCAAGCTATAGTTCCAAGTACATTTGGACCTATACGCGATGCCGACATCGAAAATGGTCGAAAATTCGAAAACTTGGATCAAATTTCAAAGCTAGTGGATATTTGGTTACCTCCAAGCACAGAGAAACCTTCCCCACAAGATTTGAAAATGGATCAGAATTCGGGTTGTGCGACAACTGTAAATACATTTGCTGAAAGGACACATTCAAAATCTAAGGAATTTATCAGCAAACACCTCGAAATTTCCGGCATTCATTTAATGGACTCTGTTAAAACAGAAAACCGCTCCTACAACTTAGAGAAAAGCACAGGTCTTATAAAAATTTGCAATCCCTTGCAGAATAACATCTCAAACGAAGCGGATAAGCTAAGAATACTTAAATTATCTAATTCAAAGTCTGACAAAAGCAGGTCATTAAGCTCTTCCAAAACATTATCAGCAAAACATTCACAATCTACTACAACACAAAAAATAGCATCTACAAAAGAAGAAACAGTCGAAAACACAACTGTAGGCACAACCCATTTAGACATAAAATTTCAAGACAATCTCGTAAATATCAAGTCCAACGATTTGCGTATAGCACGAAATGTGCAAAATACAAATACACTACAAGATACACCTCAAACATCCAAAAGGATATATAGAACGCAAACTACAGTGCCTAATTCGAATTCTGAACTAGTTACAGAATTTCCAACTCATTCTCCCGATATACCCAAGCTTGAGGTTGTAGTTTTCGGAAACCTGGATTTGACTGTTCTTTATTGCCCCAAAGATTGTAGTAAGCAGCATGAACATAAAAATGGTAGGTATTAATTAATTATCTATCTTATCACAACCAAGTTGATAAAAAAACTTACTTTTTTTAGACAAAAATGTGTTGGGCGATCAGCACGTGGTGGGCGTTCAGTGGGATCCAGCAAAGTCTAAGAAAACGATGAGAATTCAAACGGTTTAGAAAACAAAGGCAAAAACATTATTGTAAATAAATCAGTAGAATTAAAAATATTTGTGTTAACTAAGAAATCTGTTGATATATTTGTCACTCCCTTAATTAAAATATAGGTTAGTGATAGTTCAGAAGTTCAGAAATATAAATAAGTATATAATAGATTGTTTATGCCAATTATGTATAAAATAAATAAGTAATCCTTTTGAATGAGAGAATAAAAACTTAAGTTATTATACCACATTGTAATATTCGAGTACATATGTACATAAGTACACCTAAGCTCTCTTGACTGGGTTCACATGGCTTGCGTGGGGTTTCTTAGCTTTATTGTGTCTTCTCTGGATTACAGAGCCGGCCCGTCCACACCCTCATGTTAAGCAATTGCTTAAGGTGCAAAAATAGGCGACATTTTGGATAATTTTCTTTAAATATTTTATTTATTTGTTTATTTAAATAAAATAATTATGTATAACCTTTGGAATATTTTTTTAATAAAATGACCTGAATAATTTTCAAAAATTATAAAATTGTTAAATTTTGTTTTTAAAGCAAAATAATCTTTGAAGGGGCGGAGAATTTAGCATTTTCTTATGGCTTTAAATTGTCTCGTACCGTCCCTACTGGATTAGTTAACAGCTTCCAGTGAAGTTTTATATAATTATTATTATATTGTCAGACTAAGGCCTAATTCAAACGTACTAAATAATTAATTGGTTAATGAGTAAGTTCTGGCTACCAATTTATGCACTAAATATTTGTGAAACATAATGAAAGAATAATAACAATAAATCCCTTGCGTCACCCTGTACGGGGTGACATACAAAAGAACATGATAAAAACCACTACTGTCAACTCTATTGTCAAACAATCTGAAAAGTTAGTTTTATATGCGGTTGTTTTTCTCACGTTCATTAATTTATTTTTATATTTTACGATCAGAATAGAACTAATTATAGTGAATTTAAAATGATCGTAAGAAAGTCCAAACCAATTGTAGCTTTTAAAAGTTATGCACTATAATTTGTTAAACATTTTTGATAGTGAATTATGTTGCATTGCTAATAGTGGACTGGTTGATTAACAAAGTTAATAAGCAATAATTAGAATAAATGCATGAGATATTAAAGTGAAAGAGGCCCTAAACTTATTTATTGTGTCAACTTATCATCAACAAAAATAAATTTCTAACTGCGAAAATGATGGATGAACAGTTAATTGATGAAGTCGCTCAACATGGTGTTATTTTCAATCGCCAAAAATATTACCTTAATGGCAGTAATGGCCCTGGCGGTGTAGGGGGAAAATATGAAACTAAAGATGAGGCTTGGCAAACAATTGCAATAAAGTTGAGAACAGATGGTAAGTTTATTGCCTCTTTCCAAATTTGTTTAAAAGTTTTAAATATGTTCATATTCAGTTGATACATGTAAGAAACGATGGAAATATTTACGAGAACGCTATGTTTCACAACGAAAACAGGGAGACCCTCCGGTATATGAGCACCTTTCTCGACCCTATCTCGAAAAAATGAAATTTCTCGATCAGCATATACAGCCTCGAAAATCATACAGAAATGTGCCAAATTTTCTTACATCACCGCACTCGGTAAACAGTTCCAATTATAGTGAGTTCAATATGGATTCTAAATCAAATGGATCTTTGAAAAATATAGGCAACTTCGGCAACTCTGCAGCTTCTCAACATCATTATCACCAATCAGATCCGCAACATACTATGAATGTACTGAATTCAACAACGGTAGCTTCTACAGCACCAGAAAATGGAAATGGACATGTCAAAATAGAAGCTGATCAAATGTTTCGTGATTTTGCTGCAGCAGTAGCCTCACAACAGTTGCAACAAATTTCACAAACACAGCTTCACCATCATCAAGCAGCCGCTGTAGCTGCCGCTATGGCCGACTCCTCGCAAAATTATAATGAACACTTTCGTGATGGAAATCATTTGAACGGAAATGGTGTAACTCATAATGGTAATAGCAGCGGTATTGGTATTTCGTCAACATCGTCATCAATGAAATCACCTTTATCATCTCCATTAGACGGTGTAAACGGCAATCACAATGGAGGGAGTAAGTAGAATTAAGATTGAGTAAATGTTTTAAATTAGTTTCACGTTTTGTGAACGGTGTATAATGTGCGCATGCATATGGCATCTGTCTGGCTTCAATCATTTTTTTTTTTTTTGGCAAGTATAATGGGATTGAATCTAACGTTATTTTTGTAAAAACAAAAACATACCATACATATATATAGACGATATATTTTTAATTTGGTTAAATTTTAATTTTTCACATGTGCTAAAATATTATTGCACTTTCTCTATTTTAAAGATCCTTCCACGAATGGCGCACAACAGGCAACAGCACAGTCGTCGTCCTCCAATCAGATTTCGACACACGCTTACAATGATTCCAATAACGATGAGCTGGACTCATCAACAGGTAGCAGCTTCCATACAAAAAAGCCGCGTGTACATCTAAATTCCAATGTTGCCAGTATGTCTCATAACAACAACCATTCGCAACAACAACACCCCGGTTCACAAGACACATCCAATTCGACAAGCGCACAATATGTTGAAGATACGGACGATGATTCAGATGACAATAGTAGTAGTCTGTTGCAGCCAAATGCTATAATAAATGATAGCCAGATTAATCACTATGATAGCTCAGCTTCAACTTCCTCTGCAGCGGCAATGCAACGTAATCCGAGTTCTTCAAATAATGGTCAGCCACAGGGAATGTTTCCGGCGAACGCTGACTTCCTTTTTCAGCTTTATCAGCAATTGCCCCATCAACAGCAAACAGTAACATCGGCTCAGCAGCACCAACACCAGCACCAGCATATTAATAAGTTCCAAACACCACAAAATCCAGTTCCCGCGCGTAGTTCAGAGCACCTACTTGGGGAATTGGTGACAACAGAGCTATTAAAAATGACAAAAGAACGACGTAAACATGTTCAGAAGCGTATACTTGAAATCCTTTTTTTTGATGATTGAAACGTAATGTACATAAGTGTACAACAGTTGTTCGTGCTCGTTAACATCACACTATAATTTGGCCAACTCCAAACTGGAGGTGCAAAATGCGTATTCATTCCATGTACGAAATTTAAATTTAGTGATTACTTCAGTATATATATATACAATATATATTTGCTAGAATTCTGTGAAATTAATTTTTATTTGTGTACGGATAGCCCACCTTAAATATATGTCAGCGTTATTATTTTAAATTTTATAAAATCAATATTCCTTTTCTAGTCAGTTTGCAAAATTTGGTTTAGAACAATTACCACTTACTAACTAGTATCTTTAAATAATTCATTTTGTGAAAACACCATGATGAAAACGTGAAGTTTAATTACTTGAAATTATGTACATATTTTTTATGTAACTTGGTATAGCTTATACCTTTGACCGCTTACTATTACTGTATACTAAAAGTAAGTTATAAAATTCATCAATATGTAATATAGACTATCGATCTGTCGATACCGCTTTTAGATATTACGAAAAAATAGAGTAATAAAGGATTATTCCCAACCAGTAAATATTACAGAGAATAAAATCAATTGCATCATGATAAGATACATATGTATTATGCAAGTCCAAGCAACCCTACAAGCCAACTATCGGTAGTTAATTACCCAACAACATCGCCGAGGTTTTTTTTAAAGTTTCTTTGAGTTCCTTAAGACCCAATTGAGGATTCTAACCGAAACTATACGTGTGAACGCTCATCCTTTTCTTACGAGCTGCACGGTGGGTATGTGTTGGTTTCCGCTCTAATTCTTTTAGTGTTGTCTAGTTTCAGTAACCGTGATTTGCTGACAAGTTAAACGGGAACATTTGCGTGTGTTGACACCATAAATTGTAAACAACTTTCAACGGCGCTGCTTTGCATTCGATCGGCGCTGCCAAGTTAGTCAAATCAGCTGATATCGTTTACTGCTCCGGTTTACTATGTTCATTTGTGGCGAAAGTATTAAGTTGTATTTTAGAAGTGATAACTAGATAAGAAAAATAGTGCTCAGAATTCATTCCACTTATGTTTTCGTAATTTGGATGGATGTCATTATTAAACCTGAATAAAAATGATAACACGCACACTTAAATGCCCACAACGACGATTCAATGTTAGTGCAGTTTTTGGATCCAGTGCAAACAAAATTACAAGCAGTGCGAGAAAGCTATGCAATTATCATTGGTCCGTTAAAGATGCTGAGAAAACACCTGTGCAGAAGCCACATCAACAATTATTGGCGAAATTCCAACGGTAAGTAAATTTTATGTAAGAAAATAAATTTGAAAAACAATATAATTACTGAAAAAATTCACTTTCCGCTCACGGATTTGTAATATTCGCGTCAAATACCATAGGACGCGGGGCAAAAGAAATTGTGACTTACATTTCTTCAGTATTTATTTTTTCACACAAGAAAATGTCTAAACTCGTTGAACTTGTAATTACAGCTAAGTATCTGAATTGTACAGAATTCTGCCGCTACAACTATGTTACTTGAAAAATATGTATTAAATATATTTTTATATAATATATGCATGTACATATGTATATACTTACATAAATTATTGAAAAAAAAATCACTTTCCGCTCACAGATGTGTTATCTTTTCATTTTTGAAGCCTGCTTCGTTGAAGGACCTAAGCTATACATTTACCGAAAATAATTTTATTAGGATTCAAGAACTAACCAAATATTTTATATCCTAATGTTTCTATCGTTCTTGATTACAATGTACATATGTTTCATATAAAAATGAGTGGGGAAAATAGTATGCCAATGAATAAATTTTGCTGTTGTTTTTGATATAGACAGTCATTAGTCACAAAGTTTATAAGACTATTACTTACTGACAACGGTTTTTTTATGCTCACTCAAAGCACGCCAATATCTTGATAATTCAAAAACCACCCTGTGAAAAGAAGATCATTGTAGTGTTTGCCAATACGGGCAGGTCGTTTGATCCACAGTTAACAAAAATCGCATGAATATAATGTTGTTGTTGTTGTAAAATTCACCAAAATTGACAGTTTGGTGCGGTTTTTGGTTTGGTGGAACTATATACTTCTTTCGAAATGAAGCTGGTGACACCGTTACTGTCAATGGATAGCGGTATGGATCGATGATAACCAACTTTTTATGGCCGCAATTGGACATTGAATGGCCTCCAAGAAGTTGTGATTTAACGCCATTAGACTTCTTTTTGTGGGGTTCTTTAAAGCCATTTTTCTTTAGGAATAAACCAGACTCTCTTCAAGCTTTACAAGTCAAAAGTCAAACGTACTATTCATGACATACGACTTGATTTAGTGGAAAAAGTACTCGAAAATTGGGTTTATCGAATTCGTTCCTGCAAAAGAAGTCGTGAAAGCCATTTGAATGATGCTATATTCAAAACTTATTTGTATCTATAGTATTTCACTTTAAATAAAAAACATTTGAATATCTTTAACAATTAGTGTGTTTTGGAAAAAAAAATCATATCACTCTTATTAGAAAACTCTTTTTTATATTTCTTAATAACATTAAATATGTTTGTTTTGTTTCTTTAAGATGTAAATTAATACAATACATACTCGTATGTACATTTTTACTTGCAGCCCGCTTTCAATTCAAACGCATGCCCCTGACGCAAAATATGTAAGCGGGTCAAGCGATGGGACTCCTGACTTTCTGGCATTATTTCCAGGTAAGAACAAAGAAAATTTGTTTCAAATTTCCATATGTACATTTATGCCTCTGGTGCACATATAAAATCATCAATGAAAGGGTTAGGAACAGGGGTCACTTATTGTTATACATTTTATATTGTTATGCAAACGTTTAGTTTGAAATAAATGAACCGAACTTTTTTAAATTTCAATACAGATGCTTGAGACGTCAGTTGATTATTGGTGAGAAGTGGAATCTCTTCCAATTTGCTGAGATGTCTCTTAGTGAGGGAAATAAAATTAGAGCAGCGTTTTATTGCAGATTTTTTTTTGGTATAAAATGAATGAATGAAATAAATATAATTTATTTGACCTTTAAAAATATCACAGTCAGATCCAACATTTTGCGTATATTATAGAATTCGCAATTTTCATCTGAAATCAAACCAATGCAAAGTCAGATAAAAGTGAAAAGACAAGTCTAGGTTGATATAGTTCTCGTAGTTAACATTCCTTAACTACTAACTCGATATACAAGGACTTGTTGAAGAGCTTTGTGAGAAAATCGACTCCTGTCGTAAATAGTTTCTTCAGTATCAGCATGGATCTACCATTCAATGGATTCTGAGGCTTTTGCATTTCTAATCGCTTTACGAACCCCTGCGCTGCTGAATGTACCAATATCTTCACGATGTAGAAAGTTGTAAGTTTAGGGCATACCGTTGAGGATGGTCAGATTAGCATATTTTGATTGCATCATTTGTTTCATCGTCAATGACCTTGCCAGACATTGGTTCAGTTTTGCGAGCCTCTCGTGGCTCCTCCTCCTTCATATTTTAAATCTATTAAAAACATCTTTGAACATTTTTTTTTTGCAGATATTGTACGTGAACTCACCGAGGAAATAAGGAACTTAAAAGCAGATGAGGCTGCAACCTGGAACGAGAAGGTAAAAGTACCCTTTTTTCATAATCAATTTCCATATAAACAGCATTGTTTATATTTATTGCAGGCTTTGGAGTACAATGGACTAGGCGGGAAAAACAGCCGCGCTTTTCTTGCCATTTCAACCTACAAAAATTTAGTCAAACCCGAAAAGCTCACCTCGGAAAGTCTTCAATTATTACAGTATCTGGCATGGTGCATTGAAATGGTTTGTCTTTCAGATTTGTCTTTGTTTATATTTGTTTTCGAAATTTAAAAAAACCTTTTTTTGATTAAATTTATAACTTAAATCTCAAAATGTATTTTGTTCACAGTTGCAATGTTTCTTCCTCATACTTGATGACATTGTGGACGACAGCGTTACACGTCGTGGTCAATTGTGCTGGCACAAAATGAATGATGTTGGCATTATAGCTATCAACGATGCTATGATGATTGAAAATGGAATATATGTGCTGCTGCGTAAACATTTTCGCCATTTGGATTGTTACCTTGATTTACTAGAACTATTTCATCAAATAACTTTTATTACGACTTCGGGACAATCAATGGATAATATATATGCAAAGAAAAAAGTAACCGATTTTAATATAAGCAAATACAATGTAATTAGTGCGACAAAAACTGGCTATTATTCTTTTTATTTTCCTGTAGCAGCCGCTTTGCATTTAGCAGGGTGAGTTTTCAGTTTTAATTCTAAATTTAATTCAATGAATAATTTAAATAAATAATTTTAGTGTAAAGAACAAAGCGGTATTTGAGGAATCAAAAATTATTCTCTTAGAAATGAGTCATTTATATCAAGTACAAGACGATTTCATCGATTGTTTTGGTGATTCTGATATAAGTGGCAAAATCGGTACAGACATACAGGACAACAAAGCTTCTTGGTTGGCTGTAATATGCATGCAAAAATGTAGTCCCTCACAACGAGCGATAATGGAGGAATGCTATGGACAAAAAGGTGAGTAATTAGAATTAAAGTATATAGATATTGGTATATATAAAATATTGGGACATAAAAACGCTTAATATGTTAAAAATTACCTCTATACGTATGTATTTATGAATATGTTTTTTATATGTATGTGCGTCTTTATTTACATAAAAGTGGCTATATAAAATAATTTTCATAGCTTTGTAAGGTTATATCCCAATCACATAAAATCATCATTCCGTACTGTTTTGTATGTCGTCGTAACACAGTAATTTTCGGAAAATTAGTTATTGATAAATAACTTGGCACCACACGTGTTACCGTTACAAAAAGGAATGTGGTATAAATGCTTGTATATATTTACCAATTACTGTCATATGGTCGAAATATAAATTCCTTATTAATAAAATTGGAAAACTGAAGTTTGTAATATCTCTCCACAATTTTTCTGCCCGCTAACATCCCCCAAAAGCTATTATATTTTTAATATTATTATAACACTTTCCTTTACAGATGCTGAAAAAGTCGAACATGTTAAAAAACTTTACAAAGAATTGGATCTTATCAACCACTACCACGTATATGAAGAGAGAAAATACAATGATATAAAAATGAAAATTCAACAAGCATCCAATGATGTGCCGAAAGATGCATTTTTATCTCTACTAAATAAATTCTATAAACGGCAAATTTAAGTGGAGCAATAAAAAAGTAAAAGTACCTACAGAAAAACTGAGCTGAATTATTTCATATTTATAAAACTTACAAAGTTCATCGAGATTATTTTTAATAAACCTTTTTATGATAACATTAAACATTTCAAGTATCTGAAAATAAATTTCCTTAACACACTTGTTAATAATCAAACCTAATTTAAAATGTAATTGTAAACACTAAGGTAGTAGTAGTTATGTTCTTGAAAATTAAAAAAAATTGGCGGTATTGTAGTATATTCAGAAAAACCAGTCTTTAAAGCCAAATATAAAACAAATTGTAGCAGGTATTATGATCTAGTATTCCTGTACATATAAATGGTATAATGAATAAATATCTATGATAGCTAAAACCTAGTGCCTAATATTGATTTTATATTATTATTTCTTCTATTTACTTACCTTGCAAGGGGGGTGCATGAATAGTTCACCGGATGCATTATAATTACATTTAATCACAACAATGAAAAACAAGTATGTTTAGGTATAAAAAGCCATGATCTTGGTAATGATTGGAATTTAATTCCATATAATTTAAAAATTCCGTTCTCGTTATAAATTTTCGCGGAGTTTCAGGTGTTTTTGAATACGTACATTAAGTTTTAAAAGAATATTTAAACTTTGTGGTAAATGATTTAATTTAAGGTCATTGTGTAATTAAAATTAAATATTGCAAATACGAGAAGCAGAAACATGACTTCACGTTTATGTTTAAAATCATTGTAATCTGTAGTGTTTCCATGCAGTTTTATTTTGCCAGTGGTACTGTACACATGTTTTGAATTCAATATACACGTTTTTGAAATATCAAAAGTATGAATTTTAAAATCTGCAAATCTGAAATAATTAACGAAAAATTATATTAGTGGCAGTAAAGGTGAATAAAATAGTAATAAATAATGAACTGTGCAAAAAATTATTTGCAGAAGAAAAAATGTCATAAAAAACCACAAAAAAAATTAAATTAAATAAAACGGCTTAACAATTACTTTTAATATGGTAATATATCTTATATTTTATTAATACATGAACAATCGTTGAAGTAGAAGAAAACTCTGAATAAATGAATCCTTCAGACGTCTTTCGTCACTCATACATACATATGTAGGTAATTCTTGGAAATTTCGGCATTTAAAAACCGTTCTATAAAAAGTTGAAAAATCTATTATTTTGCTAATGGAGCCAAAAATGTAAATCGTTTCTTCTTTTTTTCTGTTTTACAATGTAAAAATTCCACTTGTTTAGAGCGAAGATTTATAGTTACGATATAATAAAATTGCTACGTTTTTATAAATAGAGAAAGCAAAAATTGTTTTTGAACAGATCTAACTTGTCAGAATCGATTTGGTCGAAGAAAGTTCTCTATTTTACTTTTTTAAAACTAGCTTTTGCAAAGTTAAACCGAGTACAGAAGCTAGAAGTTTGATGATTACTATCCCGTACATTAATGATGCTACGAGTTCTCTGGTAGAACGAGAGTATTACTCTGAATAACGGAACACTTTAAAGAGGTATCAACGTATAATAAATCTACGCATTTATTAAATTTATTCGGAATTAATTTAATTTGGTTCAGACTCGGATATTTTTTCAAAAACGACCGATTGCAAATCGGTATGATATAGTCATCGAAAGCTTTCCACGAGGCACACGGTAAATTGAAATCTCCTAAAATGATTATTAAATCATGACATGGCATTATTTGCCATCGGGGTGCAATATTTATTAAAGAAGCATGCTGCATATATACAGATAAGCCCGAATGGGGTGTTATATAAATAAATAAAACGACTATTAACGTAGACTATAATACATTTAAATTCGAATGAGTCAGTTCCCGGAACAGGACATCTTCTGATGGAATAGAGGAATGTACGGCAAATAGAATACCTCCTCCAATTCTGTTCATTGGAGTACATCTAAATATTTGAAATTCGCTGATTAAAATCTCACTATCAAAAATGTGTGGTTTTACCCATGTTTCTGTTAATCCAATTATATGAAAATTAAAATTGGAACTGTTTAAGTACAAGTCGGTTCATTTTGTATTACGATTTCTAACATTTTGATAATAAATGCTCAGGGAATTTTAGTTTTTTATATCCGTGGTTGCTTTCGGTAATTTAACAACGTTTTCTCAGTATGATTTCTAAGTTTAGACTTAAATTCGCGTACAAAAGCCCCTGGTGGCGAAGATTAAATAAAAAAGTAAGTAATATTTGTGTGTTAATATAATATTAATAATAATAAATACAATTAAAAACGAACGCAAAAAATAAACAATTTTTATAAAAGTTCAAAAACAAGACAGTCTGAAAAAACAATATAGCAGCAGCATTTTAGAAGCACTGGAACAAAAAAAAATTACACGTAACACAGCTGTGAATAGAGAAGTAGATGAGATAAATATAGAGTGCAAATAAAATAAAACCAAATGAGACAAGAGATGACTCGCCACCAAAATTCGAATATTTAAGCTTTAAGTTCATGCACAAAATTTAAGAACACTTATACTTAGCTTGCTATTCAAAATCAAATTACTAAATATTCATTAAATGTTAAATGTATAGTTTAGGTCACCCAACGAAGGAGTCCTCAAAAAAAAAATTTTTTAAACGTTTTATTTTGACGCGAAGATTACAAATCCGTGAGCGGAGAGTGAATTTTTTCAATAATTTATATAAGTACATATATATAATATAAAAGTATATATAACACACTTTGCACATATTTTTCAAATAACTTAGTTGTTGTTGTGGCGTCAGAACTCTGTAGAATTCTGATCACTTAGCTGTAATACGAGTTTATCGAGTTAGACATTTTCTTGTGAAAAAATACTGACGAAATGTAACAGTCGCAATTTCTTTTACGCAGCAATCTGATGGTATGGACGAATAGAGGCCAACGGCTGCGCCTAAAAAAAAGAATCCTGGTCAGTCCAAAACCGGGCTGTCGAACAGAACCGTCCGAGGTGTCAATAGTTCTTTGGTATCGAACTCCTTTCAGCACGTATAATAACTATGGATGCTCCAAAGTTCGACGCGAATGAATTATGAACCCCTCGGTTCTGGACTGACCAGGATTATTTTTTTTAAGCGCGGCCGATGGTCGCCAGTGCAGAAAGGAGTTACCACGCAAAATAACAGTTTAAAGTGTGTTAATTTTTTAATTTTTTTGTAAAAATTAATTTTCTTTAAATCAAAGAAATATAATTTAAAAAAAAAATCGACTTTCCGCTCACGGATTTGTAATCTCTGTCAAATTTGTCAAACTAAAACGATTTAAATAAGAAATTGTAATTTTCGCAACCTCCTTCGTTGGGGGACCTAAACTATACATTTACCCATGAAATCACAAAATAAATATCAATTAAAATTTAAAATTGAGAATTTTTGTAAATTAAAAACACAAAAATTCACAGCCAAAAACTTACAGCTTTACAGCTTGAAGTGTTGCCACCTTCTTCAGGATTCTTTTTGAACGTGTCTGTGAAAATTTAGAAAAATGCATTCTTTGCTTCGAATATGGCGGCAAAGTAATATTAGCAACAATAACAACAAAGCACACTGTTTTCTTTCCTCATCACCTCGCTATGCATCAAATCACTCCGGAACTAAAGTTATTAGATCACCTACTCGGGTGGCGCCTCGAAACTCCATCGGAAGTAAATTAAGGTGAGTGAAAATGGTCAGCATGGATGATTAGTGTGTACAATGAGTTTGAAAATTTGTGAATATATTTACATTAATTACAGTACTTATAATACTTACATAGTATAATAGTATAAGCAAGTATATGTATGTATAACTCCAGTATATGTATGTACATATATTCAAAATAGACTGGCTAATTTAGTAAATTCACTTGAAGGTGAAATTGATTTCTATGGAGGAACATACGCTGCTTTTACCGAAAACACCAAGAGACACCTGCTCGTCTGAATTACATCTAAATCAAGTCTAAATTACATATTAACTTACAATTATTTAAATATTTTCCAGATATTACACAATATACCCTAGCCACTTTTGTATAATACTTTAATTCTTTATTATATCTATGTATATTGCCGATTGGCGTTTAAATAAATAAATAAATAAATATGTATATTTTTATAATCTCGCAACATGTTGCTACAGAAAATAGCTTTGTTTACACCTAAAATTAATCGACATAAATATATACATAGTTAGTTACTTAAGAGACAAGTTGAAACATGGATTTATATATGTTGAAATCCGGGGGACTGTCTGTCCGTCCATCTGTCGTGCAAGCTGTAACTTGAATAAAAATTAAGATATATTGATGAAACTTCCTTACTTACACATTGTATTGTTATATATATTTCTTAGCCGTTCCCCAGCATTGGAACGCCATTTTGGATTGAATTCTGTACGTTTGATGTCAAAAGATGAAAAACGAGGATTCGAGGCCGTATTGCCAGGTAAAACTAAAGTTGCGGCTTACAGATTGTACGCAAAATACCGAGTCTGATTGTGACATTCAATATTAGGTCGCTAATATCCTCGGTGTTTCTTAAAGGAATTCTTCACAAATTGTATAGCATACCAGTATAATTAAATATGTATATGTATGAAATTCAATCAATTTTATTAAATTTTTAAAAGGATTCTAAAAACATTGAGAAAACGGTGCCCTAGCGAAAAAAAATTTTAAGAACTCTCTACTACTAATTAAGTGGCACACACCTTTACACAAATTTTGTTTCTTAAAGATGTTTTGCGTGACCTTGGCTCAATAGCTGAACAATACAAAAGCAAAGAAGCGGGTGAATGGTTCAGGAAGGTATAGGTTTTTTTTAATCAGTCATGAATTGAAATAAATAATTTTTCTATTTTATAGTCTCTGCAGTATAATTTATCACTTACAAATTACAAAAATGGCCTAATCCCCGTTTTGACATACAAAAGTTTAGCAAAAGGCGAGCAACTCCGTGCGGAACATTTAAGATTGGCACATATACTTGGCTGGTGTTTTGAAATGGTAATGTGTGGAAAAGTTTGGAATAATTGGAAAAACCTTATATTATTGTGATGCGTTCTATGTTCCATAGATGTTGTGCTTCATACTCATAGCCGATGACATGGTGGACAAAAGCACAATACGTCGTGGTCAATTATGTTGGCATAAATTGGAGGAGGTCGGTCTCTCTGCCATAAATGATATAATCCTGATAGAGAACGGAATTTATGAGCTTCTCAACAAACATTTTCGCCACTTGGATTGCTATGTTGATCTTCTCGAATTGTTTCATCAAAACATTTTTAAATGTTTATGTGGGCAATCATTAGATTTCCTTCTCACTAAAAGGAATGTGACTACCTTCAATATGGAGACATATGATTCATTAGTGATGAATAAGACTTCCTGCCATTTTTTTTATTTGCCCGTTTTTGTAGGGATGCATTTGGCAGGGTAAGTATCAAATAGGTAACTGCAATACATACATGACTCTCGCAAAATGTACCACAGAATATATTAGGAATGTTAACATAACTGTTATTTTTAACACTAAAAACAAATTGGTATACATATGTGCATATGTATTTGTATACTCACAAAGAGATTTTAGAATTTTTCAAATTGTTATAGAAATAGAGTTTTATGTTTTAAAATGTTCGGAATGACGGTTTAAATACAAATCTCTCGCTGTGCGTCCGCGCATCAGAAAACTTGGGAAAATTTAACATATGTTGATAAAAACTTGATACATGGGTTCCTTGGTGCTATGAATCTTGGTCAGAATCAGACCATTGCCATGCCCACAAAATCCTGTAAATAAAAAAAATATAAAAGGCTATTAATAAGCAACTAATTAATATACAAAATTGGTATTTGGTAGAGGGCATCTTTGGTTTAAATTCTTTCAAAAAGTGAGCGTGGCGAACCCCTATTGTACAGATCTAACAAATCAGTAAAGCTATATTAACCAAACTTGCTGGGGACAAATCTTTTTGGCACTTCCTTGTATAGAGTGGAAATTTTGAAATCGGATAATAACGCGTCCCATTTCAGGGTTATGTTGAAAACGAGTAAAAGAGAAAACTTACTAAAGGAACACGTCAGAAGCATTAAATCTTACAGTGTAGATAATACTACGTTGAATGGGAATCGGTGTAAAAATTTGTCAAAGTGCCTTACACCGCCCACTTTCAGGTGAAATTCTATACCTCACGGACTACTCGCCCTATTTCAACCAAATATTATGCATAATATTATACCTGACATCATTATGGTATTATGTGGAAAAGATATTGTATATACTGTGCAACCCAATTTTAACTTCCATCTGATTCTTTCACTTAATAGTGTACAAATAAAACACCAATGAAGATATCAGAAAGATAAAATTTTCAACAAATACTGCATTTAAAGTAGACTATCTCACGTCTAAAAAACGAACCATAACATTTCATGGCCACCGATATCGAATGTGGCTGCCCTTTTACTGAAAATATTGGGCAATCATTTCGATATACCGCCGAAAATCAAAGAGCATGTTTTTCTGATAATATTGTACTATCGATCAATATGTAAGATATAGATATGTCTTTTGAAAATTAAGTGAACTTATAGTATTGGAAATGCCATAGTTTAATGTCGAAAATGGGTGAAACCAAATATGAACCATTAGAATAATTAATTTTGAATTTATTTACATATATTTTAATAGAAAGTTATCTAACTCCTGAAAGTATTCCCCCGCCTTTTATCCTTGCAAATTGCCAAAGTATAAAGTGATTGTTCAAATTCTTAATTTTTGTTTAAATTGTAATTTTCTTAATTAATTGAAGTGTGAATGATAAAAATGTCTTCGACGAATCCCAGAGCATTTTATTTGACTTGGGTCATTATTCCCAAGTTCAAAATGATTTTCACGACTGTTTTGGTAAATATGAATACACTGGCAAAATCGGCACAGATATTGAAACCAACAAATGCTCCTGGTTGGCGGTGAAGTGTATGGAACTGGCAAACACACAACAAAAGTCTATTATGGCAGAATGCTACGGACATAACGGTTATATATGGATAAGAAGATTAGAAAATTTTGGTTTGATTAAATGTTCTTTATTTTAGATCCTCAGAAGATAGATCGCGTTAAGCACGTTTATGAAGAATTGGATATGCTCAATATTTATGCCAAATATGAAGAAGATACCTGCAACAATATTCTTATGAATATCCAAAAAACATCAGATACAGTGCCCCGAGAGATTTTGATAGAAATTCTTTGTCAAATTTATGACAAAGAAATTAAATAAAGACATGAACTACAAAAGAACAAAAAATAAACTACTTAATTTTTTTGCGGTGTTATCAAAGAATTTCCATTATTTTCTATGAACCAAGTGAACTGTATCAAAATTTTGCCTTGCTTCCTAATATTTATTTAAAGCGCTTCTAAAATATTTCGATAATTAATTGTTTCTAATAAAAACATAGCTGTAATTTTGACCGTACATATTTATGGAACTTTTAATTATAAATTTCTTATTGAATGAAGTCTAAGTCAGAGAACGTCAATGAATAGAGAAGAAGCAAATATTAAATAAAATCTTTTTGAGTACTAATTTGTAATTCCAGATGAGGGAACATCGAAATGAAAAATCGTTGCGCATACCTATTTAGATTTATGTTTTCAAATTCTATGATATGACAAAATTTATAATTATGAAAAACCTTCTGTATAACCCCAGAATTCATAATAAAATAAACCTTTAATAGGCAATTTTTCCAACTTATGTATGTGCAGCTAACATTTGCTCCTTCTCTATTCATTGACGTTCTCTGCAAATACTACAGAAAATGGTGAACTCCTTGATCTCAATTTTTCAGCTCTGTTAGCCGTCCAATCGAGCATCATACAAAATTCAATTTGCACCTTCTCGTCCATTTACGTTCTCTGTTTGAATGTCATACACGTTTCGATATTGCTTGAGAATGCTATCTTCGAACTACTCAGAAAGCATTTCAGCCGTTTGGATTGTTACATTGATTTGTTCGAATTGTTTTTTTAATGTACATATTTTCAATTGTATTTGCGGCCAGTAAACGGATGTGATTGTTAGTACAAGACATGTGAACTCTTTCGATATGGGCACATTCTATTCGATTACGAGGAATAAAACTGCTAGCAACTTTTTTTATTTGCCAGTAGCAGCTGGCCTGCTTTTGGCGGGGTGAGCCGAAAACCAACAAAACCAATAATTGCCATCAATTTACTTTGTCCATCTTATGCATTTCCAGCGTCAAAGACCAGAAGATTTTTGAAGAATGCCATAAAATTACATTTGAGTTAGGATACTACACTCAAGTGCAAAATGATCTTCTTGCTTCATTTGGAAATCCGGATTTCACTGGTAAATTCGGCACAGATATAGAATCTAACAAGTGTTCTTGGCTGGCGGTGAAGTGTATGAAATTAGCCGATTCAGAACAAAAGGTTATTATGGAGAAGTGTTACGGTCAACAAAGTAAGTTATGCTAAGGTTAGTTAGCACATTCTGCATTGCTACTGTTTTTTTATAATGTAGTTCATGTTTTAAAATTTATTGCGTTTTATTCATTTCAGATCCGGAGACAATTGATCCTGTTCGAAAGCTCTACGAGGAGATAGGACTGCACATCTTATATGCCCAGTTCGAAGTAAAAATATGCAATAAAAATCCAAATGCAAATAAATCAAACACCGGTTCAGATGTTACGTGAAGTCTTTATAGAATGTCTTAATTATGTTTCCAATAGAGGAATTAAGTAATTAAAATCAAATTACACATTAAACAAATATTTAATATATGTACATAATAATGTCTACCGCCGTTGTGTAATACTACAACATGTATATACATATTTCCGGAATGGATATCGAACGCTGGTCCTACAAATAGACACTTACATTATTGGCGTTGATTCACATGCATATATGCTTAAAAGAATTAAGAATATGCGATAATCGTTTTAAGTAGACTGAAGAGATAAAATTACAAAAACGGAAAATATTTGAAAGTGTTGGACATACACAAGGTAAGGTCTCTAATCATACACAAAGAGAACTTTACAATTAAGTTATATATAACTAATATTTTCCAGTTACATATCTACCTCCCGTTATGGCCAACAAAAAAATGTATGTATTAATCAAACCGTGTCGTGGGTTATGAAAATCATTGGAGTAATTGTACATCCAAATTTATTCACACCCGCAAATCTACACAAAACAAGCCTGTATTAACGGGGATCTCTTGATGAACATCTAATCCTAAAAATATTTAATTACCAAATTGAAATAATGCAATGTAATATATTTTTGTAGTTCGGCTTTCTGAAAGTTTCATAAGTACGAACCTCTCACTTAGAATAGAATAAATCGAGGGATGCAATGTGACCTGAGATTTATTGTTCCGCTCTGTCACACGGACTAGCAAATACCCAGCACTCTGCTGATTTCTAGGGTCCTGAGGGGTGCTGTTGAGGGCCGGTCGTATGAATCTTTCATTTACTTCAGTACCTTTCCTCGTGGCAAACACGACAACACATTCCACAAATAATAATAACGATATAATCATTGAGATCATAATATTTAGAGAGGATAATATTAGAGACCTAGTCATAAAAGTAAATTGACTAGATTTCCCAAGCCTTTCATAATTTCAAATTGCATAAATTTGGAAATTGGAATAATGGCCAACGGACCGGAAATATAAATGTGGCGTCATTTATTCACCCCTTAAAAATTGATTTCTAACTTATTCTATAAACGAATCAAGAGGAATCTTATAAATATGTTACTCTTGCGGGGTTCGACTTTCCTCGTCTATGAATCATATTAGGATAAAAATTTAATTCTATCTAAATATTACGGTAAAAGTGGTGAGTGCAACGTAGAAATAGACTAAATACCGCAAAAAGGAACGAAACACCCTTAAATCTCTATCATCATCTACATTATTTTAAATGAAATTATCAAAAAAAAAAGTATATGTTCGTAAAAAATTTATCAGTTTATTAGAAATTGTCAATCATATTATACCTCAAAACAGCGTAAAATAAACTTAAAGGGTAAAATCGTACTTTTGAAATTTTTTTCGAAAATTGTTTACCATTTCGATTTCTTCATCTTTATTTAATTTACAATCCTTCCAATCTACTTTTTCCTCACAATTAAGTAAATTCTCCGAGCAAAAGACGTCACTGAAATTAGTTTTAAGTCTAAATTAGTACATTAAGCGAACCTCAAAACAGGAAAATACCGTGCAAAATGGAGTGGAAAATGTTTCATTTGTCGAGTAATCAAAGAGCTTTTATCTGGCAGTTCTGCTACAAAATAAGGCCCTTGTTGCGGTAGCATTTGCGATGATGTAAGGGCCGATAGAGTTTCGAGTTGTAAATTGAATTCCTCAGCTTTATCCTAAAACAAAAAATATAATTTTCTTTAAATAACTCGCATAGTTAAATTAAGTATATTTACCTCAAACGCATGTTTGATCTTCCACGCATAACCTTCATCAATACCTAATGCATTGATTTGTAAATGCGATGACTTGTAGTGACGTTCGGTGAAACAAACAACTTGCCCATACGATTGAAAGAAGTCACGTAACGTATTTTTGAATTTTGACAATTCCTTCCAATTCTCATCAGATAGTAACGATGCTGAAGAAATGTGAGTTATGGACATAATAAGAACGTGGAATTCGTTGATTGGTCCTTTAGCTAAAGCTAAATAAAAATTATCTCCAATTGAAATAACTAAATGCTTTTCTACATCGGATGATGATAAACAGAACCAACATTTTTCTAAAAATTTCAATTTTGATTAATTGCAGTAGATGTAGGCGACTAAATTTGGCTTATTTACCTTGATCTATATTCATAATTCGTGCGCGTTTCTCATGACGATGACCGCTACCACCAGAGCGCTTACGGATATCATCTCCGCCCGTATTCATGTCATAGAAATATTGTTTACATTCTAACTGCTGTATGTTAATATAATATATTATATATAATATGCAGTATAACTACTTGCGCTCATTTTCAAATATATTTATACTTTACGTAAGTGTCATTACCCTGTCATGTCCTGTGATATCGTGGAAATTCATACCAATGAACGGGCATTTAGTTTCATTTGTCGTTTTTTGAATCAACTCCAAAACACGCATTTTCTCCACTGGCGTTAAGCTTAAGGCATAAATATATTTTTCCTTAGCAACATTGCCGACCTCCGCCAAAGAGATAAAACGAGTACAAAGTTCCAATTGAGTTAGGTGATCGGATGGTATTCTAAAATAGAAAACATTAAAAAAATGTATGTACATACATAAAAGTTAGGCTAATACCTAAAAGGAGATGGCTCGTAATACTTGCTGTTGAGGCCGCAAAAATGGTAGCGGGGCTTGATTTCTTTACATAAAAAGGAAATCATCTTTGAAGAGTTTTCCTGCAAAAGTAATTGTTAATTGAGGAGTAGCATGCTAACTAGTTAAACTCATGGAAACTTTCCATTTGTTTGATTGGATTACGTTAAAAAACAGAAAGACATTGATACATTTTACAAAAGTACAAATTATAATTAAATGTGTATATGGTACATATGTATAAATGTTTCAACTTTACTTACATTATCTTCGTATATGCCATATGGCCATTGCGAAGTGAGCAGAATATCGACACCTTTATAATCGGAGGCAGACGTTTTACTTACAACACATGAATTACGAATAGATACTATGTCATCTTTGTCAAAGAAAATTTGTTTTTCATCTTCACTGGGAATGTAGCCATCAACCTTTTCCAGCCCACTTAAGTAAGCTACTCTAACACCCGAAGTGAGAGTATACAATCCTCGTTTACCTACATAAGCACACAATTACGTTTTTCTTTACAATAATGGGCTTCAGTAAAATTTGGAAATTTTCTATAATTTTTAACTTAAACAACGATACTTATGGTACTTACCCAAGTATGTCAAATTAACACATATTTCACCATTTTCTATGTCATTGTAAAACTGTACTGTTTTCTTTGAGCAGGGCCCAAGAATATACGTAGGTACGTGCACTGAAATAAACTATGTTGTAATTTTAAATCTTATTGATTTAACCAAACTTACCCAATTTATTTCCATTTTTATAAGCAATCAGTTCATCATTTTGCTCTACTGTGCCAAAAAAATCACCAACACAAAAGATGATTTCGAAAGGGCCGGCTTTTTTGTTTATACTTTCCACGCGTTGGAAAAACTGCCGAAATCGACCGCGTACATCACCAACTATAAGTCTATTAGAAACGTTTAGGATTTACTCCTTTTGAATCGGAAAGTTACTTACATTTTAATTTTTGAATCCATTTTGTTACAAACCCAAAAATAAAAGCAATTTGGTTTGTTTTGACAGCTAAACAGCTGATTACTCAATAGGGATGCCAACCCCAACATAAAACGAAAACTTGTATGCCCTAAAATCCTCCACACAGCAAACTTAATGTTGGATATGACATATATATAGGTGATTTTGGCCAACTAACCTAGGTTTATGTAAATAACTAATATTGATAATGGCAACTCTATTGTATACATTTCTCTCTATGATCTATATGAGACTTTTATATTGATTCAAGAATGGATGATTCATATCATCATGCATCCTGACGAATAATTGCATACAAAAATAAATACAATATTAGGTGCACTAATACAAACCATATATATATATATATTTTAATAATTCACAATGGTCAAAGTTAATGTTCAAAAAACGGATTCCTATTAATATTAATATTGTTCGCTGAATTAAGTGTTGGAATCATATTTTGCAAGTAAACTATCAGTTAAATCAATCAAATTTCTACGAGTTTCTTAAGTCTGAATTGGCGACACTAACCGAAACTTTGTATGTGGTGATAGTTTTCATGTTAATTCTTTCAATGTCGTGATTTGTTGGATATTTGCCATTTAAAAACCTTTCGTGATAAAAGAAACTGTGATGTGCTGAAAAATGCGCTCGTAAAATTCTTATCGAACAATATCTCACGCCTTCACAGATATACACATTTTTTAAATTTGTAAAAACATAAAATAACCTAAATAGCAACTAAATAAAAATTGAAATCTATAATGACCGCTTACACTTATATGTTGCCCTAATATTCAGAAAAATTGGATTTTACATCTTTTGAACCAACATAAAGAATTCTTCTTTCAAAAAATTGGTATCAGCTGCCAATGAGGTGGTTGCGCCAGGAATCGTAAAAAACAGCACCATATTTGGAACGAGTCTGTAAATGACAAAGGTCTATAAATTTTAAGAAGTTCAATATAGATATTTTTAATTACCGCAAGTCATATAAAGTCTTTTCCATGTCTTCATCGGTAAATTGGACACCATTAGTAGCAACTAAATTAAAATCCAAATTTTCGTCAAAAAGACACGATTGCACAAATTCATAAATATCTCTAATTTTATCGTATACATTAAAGGTACCCTACAAAAAAAGGAAATTAGTACAGTCGTTTATTTATATGTATATGTTATTGCTCGGTCACCTGAATATAAATACCATTTGGGAATTTAACTCTTATCAATGCGAAACGATATAAACGCAAATTACGTTGTTCCTCACGTTCTCGCATTGCCTTTGTCCGCAATACTTGCGCATTTTTAATAGCTTCACTGCGTAACTGCTGTTCACGTTTGATTTCCTCTGGAGATATTCGATAGAAATCATCAGGCAACTCTGCACTTCGAGCCTGAGAAGGCATTAGAACTCTAATGTTTCTGTCTAAATCCAATTGTATAGTTTCAGCATTCTTCAAAGCATCAAGCAAGACTGGCAAATCATAATTATTTTCAACGTTTTCTTTAGACCAAACGAGAAATGGTTCACCATCGATATCAATCTCACGGAAACCAGCTGCAAGCAGAAAATCTAAAGCTCCCTCTACATATCGAACTTTCTCGCTAAAGATTCTGAAATTAATAATGAGAAATAAATAGATTCAGGACAAGTAAAACCAAAACCTACTTATTGGACATTCTAATTTTATAGTATTTCTCTTCCTCGGGATGGTTATATATGTTCTCAATATATTTTGAAATTGTTCGTATGCAATCATCAGCCTAAGTATTGTTGTTTAGTAAAATTCAAACCAAAAATTAACATATTCCAACCTTTTCACGTGTGTTACAATTACATATTATCAAGCATGCAGTCAATGCTCGTTCTGATTCCAATTGTTGATAAAGAAACTCTTTTATTTTAATTTTCCACTCCTTCCTGGGTAATATTTCGTCACTAATCAACGGGCATCGAAAAAACACTCCTTCGCAGGCCATATTCCTTTTTGTCGTTGTACTTGACGACCCTGAAGATACGCTCAACTCTTCTGTCCTTAGTTTCTGTTCTGCTTCTAACTCGCGTTTCGCTTGAGCTTTGATAGCTGCCAGGGATATATTGAAATCTTTCGTCTCTCTCTTCTCTATACGAGCTAATGCTGCTGATGCTGCTTGACGTGCCTCCGAACTCATTTCTTGTCGTTTTGGTGGCACATAAGCAGTACCAGATTTAGAGTTTGAACTGTTTGGAGGCGGTGCTGTTGCGTTTAATGTTCGACCTTGTCCCATTCCGCCACCTAGTTTTAGCTGCACAAGAACAAATTCTTAAATTAGTGGACATCTTACATAAGATTGATACGATACAATATATTTGTGAATTGTGAATTAAAATCGCTTAATATATTGGTAAACCTTAAATGCTGCTTCCTCCTTTTTCCTAGAGAAAAACTTTTTGATTTTTGACATTTTCGTTTCTGTCAATCGAGCAGTTTTATATTCTAGGTGAATGCTCTTTAGGCAATTTTAATTTGGCGACGGATAACTTAAGCTCCTCAATTTCCTTGAGTGTGCCTAGGACAAATATAGTGATTCACTTAACATATACAATTATAAACAGTAATTTTTTTTTACTTACTTGGTCGAACAAATTTTTCAGTTATTACTTTTCCGTAAACACGCCACGAATACGCGATAAGTCCTGCAGTACCCAGTAACAACACCAGCAACACTTTTAGCAGAGTTAGCTGCAGCGCTGAAAATTCTATAGGACTACGCCAATCGCTAGTTTTTTCAGAGAATTCGTGCTGTATTGAAACTACTGTCTGCACTGCCACGCCCACAAAGAGTTCTAACTTTAATGCAAGGGCTTGCAGTGATTGATTTAGTGACTGCTGGAAAGCATCGACATTCATTTGGTGTGATCGCTTTCCAAATATTCTCTGGAAACTTGATAGATACAACAACCACACTACTTAATAATGGATATGGAATTTATGAAATCTACTTTTATAGGCTCACAAAAACTCAATATTCAAGCAATATTATCACTGTTGAAAAATTGTGAAAATTTTTAATTCAATGAATTGTCATATTTTTTCGCAGCTGTTTTCTGATTCACAACCGTGCTACCGTTGTATAAATGTTTATCACGTTTGTCAATTATTGACTTTGTCGTGCGAAATCGCACTCAGGCCACTCTGAAACGAAGCAAAATGGAATGCCAAAACTAGAAGAATAATTTCTCTGCAATCTGATCAAAATTCAGATGGCAGAATATTTTAAACACATATAATAAAACATCCTTTTTCGGAATACATCACACTAGTGACATAAATTCATCATTGGCTTAGATTGCAGTTGTGCTATGGTTATTTTTTTTCAAGCATTTAAATGTGTTTACGATAACTTTTAAGTTTATTTTCTAATAATATTAAGTCTGATCTGGCAATATTGTTTTATCTAAATAAACTTTCAAATTTGTATAATATATTAAAAAATTGCATACTCAACTTCTGCTTTCTTCCTAAAACGGCTAAACTTATGTAATTAAGAAATTTTTTTTAACATTCGCATTTAAAAATACTAGCATTTTAGCCTTTTCATCGTCCAAACGCGTTCGTCTTTCGCTTAATTTTATGCCGGACATAGAAAATAACCTTTTAGAAGGCACTGATGATGCTAAGCATCCTAATTTTTCACGCGCAATTGGTGACACGTCCGGTGCTTATAACTATTTAACTATTCAAAAAAAAAATTAAAAAAACGTTTTTTTATTTCTTATAAATAAGCATTAAAAATAAAAAATTGTGATACATTTAAATTAATTGTTTTTTTTTTCTTTGAAAAAATCATATATTGTTCAAGTTTTTTGGTGTATTTACTCCTTTTCTTCATAAACGTTTCTGAAAATTTATATTAAAATATCAATGTTAGTGCACTTTTATTGTGATATTAATAATTACACATACTCTGCATCGTGATGAAAATTATCATCGAGGTTGAGAGCAGCGAAAAGGAGTTTAACGCGATTGAATTATGAACACCCCGGTTTTGGAATGACCAGGGTTATTTTTTTGAAGCGCTGCCGAAGGCCGCCAGTGCGGAAAGGAGTCCGACGATCTCCGATATTCGTCCATACCATCAGATCGCGGCACAAAAGAAATTGTGACTGTTACATTTCGTCGGTATATTTTTTTCATAAGAAAATGTTTAACACGCTGAACTGGTAATTACAGCTAAGTGATCTGAATTCTACAGAATTTTGCTCCTACAACAATAACAACAACTAAGTTACTTGAATATGAGATATGTGCAGTGTGTTAAATAAATTTTGAAAAATATACATAATTTATTGAAAAAGTTCACTTTCCGCTCACGGATTTGTAATCTACGCGTAAAAATAAGACGATTTAAAAAAATGTAATTTTTGAGGCCTCCTTAGTTGGGGGACCTAAACTATACATTTACCCTATTTGTTTCCACCATTGCAACGAATCTTCCCTTGGGCCAATGACTTCACCTTCCAAATACCTCTGCTAGTAGCTTTCGGATTATTTGTGTCTAATTTACTCGATATTGAGAGTTTCGATACAGAAGGTATACTTTATTCCTAACATCGGGATTAAAAAATAAAAAAATGTTAAAATTAAAAATTCGCGACACAGCGTTACACTGAAAAATAAAACCCCTATGACGAAAAACAGCATATAGTGTGCTTACATTGGGACTCTTTTGTAACCCAAACCGATTTAGTGTGGGCTAGGGGACGACGAGGAAAACCGACCGACCAATGACTTCACCTTCCAAATACCTCTGCTAGTAGCTTTCGGATTATTTGTGTCTAATTTACTCGATATTGAGAGTTTCGATACAGAAGGTATACTTTAATCCTAACATCGGGATTAAAAAATAAAAAAATGTTAAAATTAAAAATTCGCAACACAGCGTTACACTGAAAAATAAAACCCCTATGACGAAAAACAGCATATAGTGTGCTTACATTGGGACTCTTTTGTAACCCAAACCAATTTAGTGTGGGCTAGGGGACGACGAGGAAAACCGAAGAGATGCGCAATTCAGCATTCCTTTTCATTTTGAAATTTTTTTCATGGTTGCAATAGCGCTCGGTTTCAAATGAATATATACAATATGTTAGGAAATTTGAGAAGATTAAGATCCTCAAAAATATTTAATATAAATTTTTTATAACATTTAGCGATATTAAATGTAATAATATATACATAAATAAATTCTAATAAAAATGGGGTTACTTATTATTTCTTTTAACCGCAAAGGATTTAGTTCGAATATCATTTTATTTAAAACAAGAATTGTACTTATTTCAAAGATGATTTATAATAAATAGACAAAAACATGGAGTAAAGAAATTATGAATTTTTGATACTTAATGATTAGGAAATTCATGTTATAAATTTGGCCTTGAAAATATTAGTAGCGGGTATTCAATACATTCTGGTGCATAAGGGAATTCCCGTCTTAAGTAGTTATTTGAAACTATTAAGAGGGTAGGTATTATGCATATTGTTCTACCACATTCATGGTAATTCATTGCAAGCAAAATTTGAGACCATCATCCCAACTTTTGGACACATACAAAAAATAGATACCGGAATTCAAATTTCTGAACGAATGGTATAGATTCATTTCGAACCGAGCGCTCTTGCAACCATTAAAAGAATTTGAAAATGAAAAGGAATGCTGAAAAGGGTAGCAGCGAGTTGTTACGAACAAGAGTGGCACGGTACCTTGGTCTTTTCTCGTCGTCCCCTCGCCCACACTAAACCGGTTTGGGTTACAAAAGAGTCCCAATGTAAACACACTCTTATTTAACCAAATGGATTTGAACACTGTCCCTGCTGGCAATAACTCTGGTCCTAACAATCTCCTCGAAGCAATAGTGCAAATGGAGCCTGCATATTGTTCGCGGCAGGCAAATATTATATTTTTTTTTTATTTTATGTAAATTGTAATTTAGAAAAAATAGACCCATTACAAGAATGTAAGTATGAGTATTTTACCAAAGAGCCACCCCCCAAAAATTTCTGTTAAAGTTTTTATGAGTTTCTTAGGGCTGGGTTCACAAAACTACCCGAAACTCTTGTTTACGTCTGGTAGTTAATCATTTTCTTACTCAAGGGGTTATGGTCAATTCACATAGAACTTTTGCTTTGATTTACATCAGACATTTGTTTTGACAGAAAAGTTAGGTGTACGCTTTTGTATAAGTACGTTCACATAAAAAGTTTTCGACGCCAAGCCTTAAAAGAATCACGTCACAAGGTGGCGTTATAGTGCAATTGACTTTTGTAACAACTGTCACAGCTTAAACCAAAAAAAGTAATAGTAAATACTTGTCGTAATCTTGTATTCTATTATTCTTTGGCAAATCCTTTAGTTTCTTCGCTTCGTTGTTTCACAGGCACACTGACTTTATAGAACAGAAACAACTAATGAGATAACTTTGTCTTAGCACAATTAAAATTTCGCTGTAACCTGGTGTGTCTGCCACACATTAAGAAGTCGGCCTGCATCGGGCGAGATGTGCCACATCATTGAAGGGTTGGCAGCTACACTGCAGTCAAAATGAAAAGCCTAGATTTTTGCAAAGCACACTCAGCCGCAACAACGCAACACCACGTTTGGCGACTGTGAGGCAGCAACAGGTGGAGTTGTATAAACTTCCCTTTGCTGAACCTGAAAAACTTGTTAAGTGTCTTGCCGTATAATCGCTTCGTATTCATTCTTCAGCTAGCGCCGTCTCTATTGCATTTTTTATCAGTCAAGTTTGTGATATTTAGAAATGATATACTATACTTTGCAATGTTCATAAAGTGATAACTTTAAAGATATTTTCCTCTAATGATCGAAATCGGATATATTCATGCGCCCAATTCTCTACTTATTCGCTTCCCGAATATTAATTTTACCCTCCGCGTAAACCTTGTGCCTACTTACATATTTATGTATGTATATGAGCATGAATGCAGCTAAGCCATGCGAATAGCTAGCGAAATAACTTGTTTTGTGCGATATCTGTTGAAATTTCTCTTTTTGCTATTTCCGCTCATTTCAAGTTGTCTTTTTTTCAAGTTTATTTAGTACAACGAAAGTCAAGGCTGCCCGCTCAAGGTATTTAAATAGCTGTTGACTTTGAAGTCAATGTGACAACACACACTCGCATACACTCATTCACATATTCATATCACGAAATGCAGTGAAGAGCACGAGAATCTAGTATTAATCGAACTTGTCACAAGCAGTAGATATATTTGTTAAAAAAGCTTTCCTGGTAAGAAGTGAAGCAGCGGCGATAATTTCTTGATTAACATTACTGTTTAAATCTAGATAGACCATACTACTGCAATTTTCATAATCTGTTACATAGATAAAATATGTGTTCAAAAAAAATAAATAGTAAGCTATAGAAAAGATATGTTTAAAATGGACGCTCACCGCCTCATTTTAGTGAAATCTAAAAATGTTCGGTTCCGTCTAAAATCTGTGATACATATTTACTGCTTAATAAAAATAAAATGAAAAACTTTGAGCCCACAAGAAATTTGCTAAGAAATTCCCGCACAATATTATTTGAAATGTGTAATAGCGGACTTCACTTATTAAAAATAGGGGGACTCTACATATTTCCTTTATTTAAAGTATATGTGTAAGCAAATTCAATGCCCCTGGAAATGTTTCCATTCGCTGTTTTCGAAACAAATAATTTGTACAATTGAGTTCAACTATCATCATGTGAACTTGTAGAATGTCTTCTTTCTTCTAATATATATACATAGGCTACAAATATTCCCATCGAAATGGCAGAACACCGTGTGAGCCTATGATTACATTCCGCTGTGGGAACGCTTGTGTAAGTTGTTTTTGAAATAATAAATGGAAGAACTCTTAATTAACACGCTTACTTGCAGATTATTATGTGTTTCACATATTACGGAGGGCTGTCTAGAAATATATAAGTCTTTTGGTGATAATTTTCGCTTGCTTTGGTCATATATAATTCATCAGCATTATCAATATATCAATATATACATACCGATTACCGAAAGGTTTGAGTAAAAGGAACTGCAACAATCGTTGAGTTGATATTAATGAGCAATGACAAAAAATGTATGTATGTATGTGTTTTCTTAATTGATGACCCCTACATGTGTGTTATATTATATTATTGTCTCATATTGAAATATGTAACTTTTGCGAAGAAAGAATAAGGTACAATCAAACTATATATTTTGGAAAATACTGTTTTAAACAGCCTTTCAACCCAAAAATTTATTTCCCGCCTTTATTTCAACAGACACATTATATATTACTCAAACGCGTTGATCTTTAGTATCTAAAGTATGAATCTATAATTTATTTGTACTGGATAAGAATCCCGCAAATATACAAAGTTTTGAAGTTCTTAGTTTTGAATTGGTTCTTAATTAACAGTTATCGTTTAATCGGAGTACAACGTTTGTACGCCCGCATACAAAAATATAATACGAATGATGTACCTATACATATATCCATATATCCAAACATATGCATATGTACATGTGTGTGTTAATCGCAACATGTATGGTATAGGTACACCAACGTAAAATGAAAAGAACGGCTATACTTGAACTAAATGTTTGTAAAACAGAACACTTGAACTGAACATAATTAAATCAAAGGGGTTGGCGTCACAAGAAAATCCACTTAAATAAGTTGCATATATGAGTTTTAGTCGAGTCACTTCCTTTTCACATCAAGGCAATAGCTTTGGGGACTAGTTAAAATAACCGAGAGTGGCGGACGCTTCAAGCCTACATATTACTTTAGAACACAACAGGAAAGTACAATTTTTCAATTTAGTAAATACAATGAACACACCGTTTTAATTAAACAATTGAGAGATCGAGTTCCGACACTTCGGAAGTCCAAAATAAGTAGATGTATCTCGTTGTGAACTTGCGGAGTATTCAATGGAATCAACCTAACGGAAGCACTTTAATACCTTAAATGCGGAAAAGGTAAATGGGTAAAATGTCAAAAGCCGCCACTTTCCTGTTTCCTCTCTCTTACACAGGCGCACGCACATAATTGCGCTCACATATACACGTACACCACTACACATATCAACAACGCACATCGCACAATAGGAAGCATTGTTGGCTGATTGCTGCGAGAGTGAAGTATTGAGCGCGGAATGGATGTGTGTGCTTTATTGTTCTGCGCGTTCATCTCTAAACGGTTAATGGCAAATTAATAAACGGGTAAACAGATGGTTAACCGACGCTTTAGTGTTTAATTTAATTTCTCTTTGGTGCTGTTGTGGTTAGAAGTCACTATACCTAAAACCTGGCTACCAAGTGGGCTACGCTTGTAAATAATATTTAATTTTTCATATTTATTTCATTACCAGCATTTCACGAGAATGCCTGTGTCGTGAATTGTGTTTTCACTGTTGTGCGAGCGGTACTTTTATATACCCGTAAGTATGTATGAACATATGTAAATGATATCATCCATTTCAATTCATTCACCCGCTGAGCTGGTACATGTGGAAAATATATTGTCTTTCAATTTGCATTATTGTTTTCCTCTGTCTCTATATATCCGATGTTATTGTTATTTCTCTTTGCTTGTTTATTTGCTGATTTGATTCTTATTGGGCATTGTTTTAATCGAATACTTCCGCCAACAACTGCCGCAATGGCCGGTCGCTGCGGTGGCGTGTAATTAGGGGAATCGGGGAAAAGTGAGTGACCAATATTATCACCAGATATTCGCTGTCTCTTTAATCATAAACTACTTACGGGACTACTGACAAATCATTTCTAAATGAGGTATTTGAGGAAGATTGCTTTAAAAATAACTTTTTTTTGTTATTATATAAATAGATGAAAATTTAAATAAATACTGGAATTCTTGGGTTTTCATATCTACATGGAAACGAGCGCAACAGCTTTAGAGTCAAGAGTTGGTACACTACTGTATTACACTATCCCATTAACTACACTTGGTCCATCGCAAATTAGCCTCATTTTTGTTAACAAATAGAAACTGGTGTATTTGACATACCAAATTATTATTACTGCTACTTCTCAAATTTGAACGTGATAGGGATGATAAGATTCCGTATGTATTCGAATTTTATGTCTGCTTAGATTGTGAGCTTGTAGAGCAATTAAGTTGGCTCACCTTTCCATCTGTATATCAAGTAACAAGTCGACTGCACTTGTAATTATGATTCTAATCATTGTCATCATGAAATCGTTTTAACAATGTTATCGTTTCATTCGTTTCTATTAAGTAATATGTATGTGCATTTGGATTTCCTGTGTTAGCGGCAGTGAATAATGAATACCACAGCTTAAAGTAGGTATGTATATACCCTGGAGTAAGAAAGACTACTTCTAAAGTAACAATGCTCACACTCATCTCCAACATAACGGTATTGTTCCAAACGAATAATGCAAATGTCGCAAAATACGTTGATATTGACGACATATGTACATAGTAAGTGTAAGTGTGGATCAATTCAAAATAGAGCAATGAACCTCAATCCTTATCTTGTATCGATATATGTATTTATCCGCTTAACTTTAAAGGTATCCTTTAAATATAATTATAACATATACTATAAATTCTTATGCCCTTCGAAAATTATGCAAAGTATGTGCAAATACATAGGTTTGCGTGCACATGACCAGTTAGTTTTGCTGCTATAATCCAGGAGAGCCTATATTTAAGAAAGTTCAAGAACAAACAGAAAAAAATTTAAAACAAGAATGAATATGATGTCCAAGATCTCAGTTAAGAGTTAAGATTTAGTGTTCAAATTTCCAGGGCAAGGTTATATCTAGCTACAAAACCATTACTTGAGACCCTGAAAATAGAATCATTTGTTTAACTGCTTATATCATCAAATCTAGTTTCGTATTAACATTTCTTGTTTTAATTTCAAAAAATCGAAATAAATACACATCATAAAAATCACATGGGTCACACCTTTGCTACCACAAATTTCGCGCAAATTGCACAAACATCTCTACCTTCGTCATAGGCGGTTCATCCTTGTTATACCAATTAGTTAGGAAACGTAAAATGCCGCCCAACATATCGAACATGCCCTCCAGTTCAAAGAATATCGAAAAGAGCCAAGAAACAACGGTTATCAAAGTTAGTGCAGACGCAATGCTCCGCAATTCTGTAAAGAATAGGCCAAATGGTAAGACTTGTAATTAAATGTGCACACAATACCTGAATAATTTTTAAATGACTTCTTTTCACGCGGCAACGGCAACACCCTGAGCGGTTGTCTTCGAGAGCTGTCAAGCATGTCACCGACTGTTTCCCGGGGCACATAACGACGAGGAATCTGCAGCGGCGGTACCACTAGCGGTGGATGATATGCACGTGGCGTTAAAGCGGAACAACTAGTGTTGACCTCTGTTTGAGTTTGCGCATTCACATGAGGTGAAACCGATTTGGTTTTGGCATCGTCATTGAAGAAGCGTGTCGGAATTTTGTCTATATTGCGCGGTGTAAAAATCGGTCGTGTCTTCTGGTTGGAATGGCGACGTGAGCCCTATATGATAATATTATGATGAATAAGATATTTTTTTCTTGTTATTGTTCATACTTTCGAACGCTTGGTAGTGATAAGTCTGGAACAATCATTTCCAAAACCAGAAATTTTCGTTGATGAAGCAGTATTTTTTGACACTGAAAAGACCTGAGAACATTGAGAAGCTACGGTGAATGGATTCAAGTTCGCCTGCATATTATCCTCTTCCAGGTGGATAGAATGTTTCTCGCCTGTTTCACTAACCGCAACCGCACGCGGCCCTTCATGCATAACGCTAGGATATATTAAAAATCTTAATAAATAAAATCACAGTCAGTTGCAGAACCTTGCTCACGTGTCACCGATGAAGTTTGTCTTAGAACTATGACTCGCCATGGTATAAGGGCTTCGTTCATTTTGAAACAACTCGGTACGCGGACTGAGCTGTATGAGATTAATGGCAGATGGATCATTGACAAAACTGCCGGTTTGTTTTCTGCAGAACGGTTACATTGTAGAATAGTCATGAAAATCAATATTTTGTTCGTACACTCACCTCGGCTTAGAGGACATTCGGCAGTATTTTAAGAAAGAAAAACGGCAGTTAAATATGTATACAAATAAATTTTTGTGTTCATATAAAAATATATATTTTTGATTGCAAACCACAAAAATACTTGACACAAAACAACTCTGTGAAATGTACTGAAAAGAATGCTAATGGTTGTGCTTAGTGTATGGTGTATTTACTGACGAGGCTATTAAGCACATTAATAATAAAGTTCACCTTATTTATATACTACTGAATACATGTCCAGCTTTTTAGCATAATTTCTTTTGTAAAAAAGTAAAACGTACATATAAACATATTCATGCTGCAGAATGAAGATCCATATTCGATTTCAAGATTATCGATCTGATGTTATGTATATATGTGTACTTATAGAAAGAACTAACGTTATACTTGATGTTGTAGTTAGTTTTAATAATAAAAACGATGGCTCACTTAATTTTTTATTGTATATTTAAAAAATGTATAACGATAAGTCTTTTCTACGATTTCGTGAGACATTTGTTAAATTGAATAATTTGAAGAGTTATTCTGTCCATCAAGTAATTCATGGTCCATTTATAGAAGATGTATCTAGAATGAATAGACTTCCCGCTCAAATTCATTTCAGCAATACAAGCATGTGATTGACTTTTTTAACAATAGGTTCATCGATTTATGAGCCGGCCAGAACCATTTCTACTTCCGCCGAAGTACTTGTGTGTTAGAAACATAACTATACTCCTGCCATCCAATTACTGAAAAATCACCTTAATGTTTATAGGTACTGGCATATCGTATAGGTATGTACTTGGTATGAAATGCAATTTTGACCGGCAGCCATTGCATTTTACAGACGCCGACTGGGCACCATGGATTACCTTTTATTATATTCTTCGCTCATTTGCATACTCTTACATTTCAACTGCATTTCTCTAGACGGTTCAGCATTTGGAATTGCCATTTCTGCTATTTTATTATACTCTCGCAACATGTTTTATTTTTGCAATTTTTAAGCACGTAAAATCCGACGGAGTTAGCGCACACTCCATATTCTGCTCTCGGTGCTACGCTTTTTATTGATAGGCACACTAACACATACATTTACATCTATGTACAGATATTTATATGAACTATAGGAATGTCTGCACTTGCATAGTCGTCGGCCCACATAGACTTTATTTTGCTGCAACAACGGGCGATGAAGTAGCGAATCAAAACATACGTCCGACGCCAAACTTTCTTGTTGTTGTCTGTCCACTAAATTTAGGCGATTAACTCTACTTTTACACACAGATTCTTTTGTAACCCAAACCGGTTTATTGAGGGCGAGGGGACGACGTGGAAAGACAAAGGGACCGTGCCACTCGTGTTCGGGTGGCACGCTTTGTGTTCTTGTTCGTAACAGCTCGCTGATACGCAACTCAGCATTCCTTTTCATGGTTGCAATAGCGCTCGGTTTCAAATGAATTCGTTCACAAATTTGAATTCTGTTATCTATTTTTTGTATGTAATATACAAATAGGGAATTCCCGTCTTAAGTATTTCTTTGAAACTATTAAGCGGGTAGGTATTATGCATATTGTTCTACCATATTCATGGTAATTCATTTCAAGCAAAATGTGGGACCACCATCCCAATATACAAATGAAACACGCTCTAAGTGTTGCGCAGTCGAACCGCACAAATATTTACGAAAATTTTGTGAAAAGAATGCAGAAAAACTAGACTCGAGTTGCTGGACTCTTTTTGACCGTGTGAATGCACAGAGCGACACCAAAAGAGAATTTGAAAAAAATGAGACTCTTTTGAGTCCCAATGTAAAAGCGCACATATATGTACATATATGTACTTAGTGCTCATAAATAAACGCACATATGAGTATTCTTCTATGTTTATTACATATTCTTTTCCTGCGGATTGCTCCGGCTGATTTTTTACCGATCAGTTTATGAGTTCTACGATTGAAATTTAGGGAAAATATTTTTGTGAAAACAGCATGCCCTTGTGCCAAAAATGATTAAAATCGGGTTAATACTTAACTTAGCCCCCAAATACCTAATGTAAATATTTTCGAACTTCCGGTTGACTTTATAACGCATCTATCGGTTAATATGTAAGTAATCTTAATGAAATTTCGAATGCATCTTTTCTAATAAAAGTGTAGCTTTTAGCCTGTGATTGTAAATAATGGATGCAATACTTCCTACTATTAATTAAAACATATACGAAAATCTCATATATCACTTTACCTTAGAGAGCATGAAATATTCGGTTACACCCGAACTAAGCCCTTCCTTACTTGTTTTTAAGTTAGAAATACTCAGAGAAATAAATTTTGAATGGAAAACAGTTAACTAACGAAATCATGACCATTAGAATGCTCATTTTGCTATACGTTAGGTCTAAAATATGCATCCAACTCCAGAACTTATATCGCAGTTTGAGTATCCTATAAAATGCAAATTAGTTCGCATGGTATTCTTATTGAAGGATCAGACGACATGAAGAGAACTTTTAACAAAACATAGGACTGTAACTAAAATAGGCATGCGAAAAAGAAACGTTTCGTCTTATTTTCAAAACCTATCAATTACCATACCAGATATTCGCCCAATATAAAGCCACAAAAAGTTAAAAGTTTTTCGTTTTAATCTGTGTGTCTTCTTTTAGGAACAAATTTTATTTATTTGAAAATTGTATCATTTCATATTCCGTTTTTTTATTTCTAACTTTGAAATTTTCTAATTAACAATACTACTTACTTTCGGACTTAAGACATATAACAATATATAAAATATAAAACAAGTACTTGGTATAAAAATACAAGTAGGAATTGTGCCTTAAATACTCATTAAACTAATAGGACAGCGATATTTTCCAATAGTCAGCTTAGTTACAAATAATTATCTTTGCATATATGTATATTTCTGTATGTATATGCATATGTATATACATGCGTATGGGTTGATGTGTATAACTGATAACAAATCACAAGTTATATATCATATGTGTTAATACCGAAAATCTATGACAGCAACGCCATGGCACGCGCCAATCGCACACGAAAATCACGATAAAGCATTTTACCACCAATCGGCACCCGGCATAAATACATGTCAAGGCTCATAAGACACAGAGCTTTGCCGTTCATCGGGAACTTTTGCGGAAGCTCTGGCGTCACTTCTAGACCCTCCGACAGGGCCATATTAATTAGCCATTTCCAAACATCAGCGCGTGTCCAATCGCGCGGGTCTAATGGCAGGCCGTCGGAACCCAGTTGATACGGTAGGATTGTGTTAAAATTACTATTGCAGTTGTTGTTAGTACTGATGCAGGTATCGTTGTTGCTTTTGCTATTATTATTACTGGTACCAGACGTGGTAGGACTGTGCGCGGGTGTATGTGGCAGATGCAAGTAGGGATGTCTTAATGATATTGTCCGTTTCAGCGTCGACGGAGAGTTCGCCTTGCTACTCCAAAGATGTTGCAACTCATTTTCATTGCGACAATTGGTGCTGACCTGTGAGAGGTCAAGGGGCGGCACGCGACCAGCATATTTCAAAAAACTCGACTCGACTTGCATAGTTAATGGAGATTGACAAATTCTGATGTGGTGGATTACCTTCAGTATACCGAGTGTCTGCAAAGAAAAGATAATTTAAAATATTATTATATATTTGCTCCAAAACTGTTACATATGTACATTAGGACATCGCTTCGTACTCTGAAAAATTGGTTCACAGACACCTCTAGGAAAGGCTCTCCAAGTATGAGCTCTTTATTGTGACATGAAGGTCCTCCGCCTATCTGATAGAAAAATTCTAAATTCTAAATAAACTTAACAGTTTTTTCTTTACTCGTAACTCGTGAACGCTTCACTTAATCAAAAATTATACGGGCCATATAACGGGTGTTTTTTTTAGAGGTATAGAACTTTAAATTGTAATAAAAAAAAAACGAAGGATTATTCGATTGACATGAATTTTATTTATCCGAAAGATAATAACCCCACAGAAAGTAGTCCAGCGGTGTTAAATCACAAGATCTTTGAGGCCAATTCACAGGTCCAAAACGTGAAATTAGGCGGTCACCAAACGTGTCTTTCAATAAATCGATTGTGGCACGAGCTGTGTGACATGTTGCGCCGTCTTATTGGAACTATAGCTCTTGGATATCATGGTTGTTCAATTCAGGAATGAAAAAGTTAGTAATCATGGCTCTATACCGATCACCGTTGACTGTAACGTTCTGGCCATCATCGTTTTTGAAGAAGTACGGACCAATGATTCCACCAGCCAAAAAGCGCACCAAACAGTCAGTTTTTCTGGATGTAACGGTGTTTCGACATACACTTGGGGATTAGCTTCACTCCAAATGCGGCAGTTTTGTTTTTTGAAGTAGCCATTCAACCAGAAGTTGCCTTCATCATGAAATGAACGTAGTGCGCGATACGTATTCCGCACAGAATCATTATTTTCGAAATAAAATTGCACTATTTGCAAGCGTTTTTCAGGCGTGAGTCTATTCATGATGAACACCCGATACATACTTATATACTCATATATTTATATACCTACGTATATAGGAGTATGTGCCTCTAAGAGTTTATGATTTAATAAGGCAATAAAAAACGAACCAAATAATTTCAATTTTTATTTCGATGAAAGAATCTAAAAACTCTAAGCGCAAAATATTATTTTACATTATTATATATTACAGATTATTTCGAAACAATGCGAAAAATTTATTATTTTTGTTAGTGAGAAGCTTCCTCAATTGCTGGAGAGATGAGCTTTTAGAATTGAAAAAACTAGAATCTCTTATATTGGTTGATCACGACTCACTATTTAATTTTATAATGTAAAATTAATGCATACTTATTCTTAATTCCGGATCTTTATTTAGATTTGATTAAATTGGAATGGAACCGCGTACCAACGTATCCGAATGAATAATAATATATATATGTATATACTTAGGTTATCATTGATGTACATATAGTTAAACTATGAAAAATGTCAAATAATTTAAGGTATAAATAACCCTCTAACTCATTCAATTTGTTCGACAATCAACACTAAAAAACAGTACCTGTACATATTCGTATAACTCAACTGGGTTGAAAGAAAAGATATCAGAGGGATTTTTAATTGACCCTTTTATCAAATCAGTATACTAACATAGTGAAAAAAAATATTTCATGTAAAATCAGCTTTGGTTTTTCGCCTTGGTTCTTCGCTTTAATGGACACAATGAAATTGTTTAAATATCCGGCTTTGAAACCCTTTTTAATGAACAACAAAGACAACACCAATAAAGAAAACATAGCTTTGATAAATGAGCAATAATCGTATATTAAGATGACACCTACCCAAAGTCGTAGGTTTTCTAAATTTTTTTCTTTCTGCTGTACTGTTGTGTTCATACTCATAGTCATAAGTCGACATTCCACTGAAACACTAAAGGAAATGGAAACACATAAAACGCTAATAAGTAGGTTTCATGATTTAATAACATTTTACGTATGTATAATGAACGTACACAATACATACATACTTGTATATAAATACGTACCATATTGTGTGGTATGAATCACTTTACTTGGTATGAAATATATTTTAGCCTGAAAAGTCAATCTCATGGTTATCGTGTGAGCAAATCATGACACCATGACCTAGCTTTTGATCTTTTGGATAAAGGCAAATACTTCTGCTCAAATATAAACGAGACTGGCTCAATAAAACAAAAACGGTTAATTATTCTTCAATATTTATTTTATCCCTTTCAAAATAGTCACCATAAGAGGCGATACACATATGCCACCTTTTTTTCCAATCTTCCTAACACTTCTGGTAGGCCGCTTTAGGTATGGCTTTCAGTTCCTTCTTCGAATTCTCTTTTATGACTTCAATCGACTGAAAATGCTTTCCACGAAGCGGCAATTTGAGTTTAGGGAAAAGAAAAAAGTCACACGGTGCCATGTCGGGTGAATACGGTGCTTGCGGAACAATATTTACGTTGTTTTTGGTCAAATAATCGCGTACAAGACGAGACGTATGAGCTGGCGCAAGGAACAAGTCGAGCAGACACACGTCTCATGCCCAAAACATCGTGAATAATGCTATGAGCGGATCCATTTGATATGTTGAGCTCACTAGCTATCTCTCTTTCAGTCAACACAATTTTCTTTACTTTTTCGACGTTTTCTTCGTTTATTGACGTTGCTGGACGACGATCATGGGGCAAGTTCTCCAGCGATGTACGGCCGTCCTTGAACGACTTATACCAATCAAAAATACGTGCACGTGATAGGCAAGACTCCCCCCCTATGCCTTCTGCAACATTTTCATTGCGTCCGTCGCACTTATTCCATTGGAATAACAAAATTTCAAACAAACTCTCTTTGCTCAACGTTAATTTCCATAGTAAAATTCGAAAAACACACTCGAGGTCGACTTGTTTATAGTGCCGTAAAAAAAAAACTATGTGACAGATCGCGCTCAAATTTGACATGTAAACATATAACAGTCCTGCCAACCTAAGCAAAAGTATGGTCATATGTCATGTCCTAGTCGAGTTATGGATAAAGTCTCGTTTATATTTGAGCAGAAGTTTAAATTAATTTAAATTGAAAATACAAACTTTAAGTAAACGTGTGATTTGAGTCTTGAAAGACTTTGTTAAAGTTTATTAAGCATTTTTATTTGCTTGGTAGATAAATAAATACTATTTTGAGTCTCTTTTAGACATTTCAAAAACTCACATGGCGTTTCCTTCTCGGGGGAAAGCCAACAACCGTTGCGCTGTTATAAACGAAAAACTAAAATATTAAAAAAAAAATAAAATTGCTAGAAGTAAAGTATTATTAAATGCTGCCGAAAACAATACAACTGACGAATACTGATACTTTTTCTCACCACCGTGTACTAATATCCTTTAAATTTTATATTCTTATGTACAGAAGTGAAATGCTCAGTTGCAAAGAACCTTACTCCATCAATAAAAAGACAAAAGACTTCTTTGCTACCAGTTATTCTTAATTTGATTCTTGCCCTAAAGGTAAATAAACACACCAACACCATACGTTATTTATTGTGTATGTTTGCATATGTGTTCATGAATATAACTCTACATATACTATATGCGCATATGTACTTCCTGTAGTTTAATGATTCCCTTATTTCATTCTTATTTAAATTGTAAACTTCCTCGTCTTACAATTGATGATGTTTCATTCCGAGTAACTCGCACTTAGTGACAGAGCGTAAACGATTATGGTCGGCTGGTTGCCTTGAGCAGGAAGCGCAAGCGCATGGGCACGCGTCATCTGCACTTGAATGCTTCCGTTGCACGCCACGTCACGCCACAATCCCGCATTCGATTTAAACATTTATACGTGTACACTTATAGACAATGAAATACATAAATATTTATGTATTTACAATGTACCCGTGCACTGTATATAGCTACGACGGAAGGAAAGCAAAAAAAATAAGAAATGCATAAATGTGAACTCCTGGTGCACTACACAGCGGTTGTCGTTGACAGGATGTACGCACACAACAAACAACGACAAAAGGAAATCAATTTGTATGGACGTGTGTATGTATGTATGTGTCATAAAGCAACAGTAATAATTCTACGCACTTCCTCCCGCACAACTGTCGCATTGCTCTGTAGCAATCCGTTAGTAAGCCGTCCGATTTTAATGTCTTGCTTTGCCGCTTGAACAGCCTGTATTTGTAGCTGTGACTTTTATGTCAAGGGGAAAATTTTTTGCGGAAATTGGGAGGGAGAATTTTCAAAATCAAGCCACTTGGTTTTTATTTATATTTATTCTTGCGACAGACACAGCCACTTGAACGCGTAAAAAATTTAAATTGTAATTTCTACCTATTAACTTTTGAAGTTCATTAAAAAGATTTCAAATTCGTAGCTTTTTCTCCATTCTTCCAGCTATACAAATATATGCCCATAGGTAAGTATGTACGTACAGCTCTTCCAGCCGTAAATGAACTGTTTTGTTGAAAATGAAAATGACGCATTTCCTGCCATTTGGCGAGCTCTTTCAGTTTGGCGTAATTTGCTAGCAACGCTTCCGCCTATATGTTTATCATTTCGAGCTTACAAATACAGGGGCATGCTAATATAAGTGTATGATATGCCGAACTGAATATTTCAGCACATCAATCGATTCGAAAGTTTTGTCTGGGGTCTCAGTAATTAAAAACTAAAAATAAAAAACAATAGGCGATGTATGTAATATTTTTGTTAATATTTTCATTTTCAAAAGCAAGTATCAAGACCACTCTCCAGAGTACTTAGGAGGCTCTTCGGGAATTTTGGGTTATGTAGTATTTTCGACTCACTTTGCGTTAGTTGATGGTGACGATGGATACAAAATTCATGGACGCGTGAGAGGAAGAGCTTCCCAAATACGATGACAGTAAAATCGAAGTAGATGTAATGCTACATAGCTACACATAAGGTAGTTATGTGCGGTCGAATGCCTCATTTGCTCATCCGGCCGACTTCTTCGTGCAGCCTCAATTATTTGCTTCCTGCGACAATTTTGTTAATTTTGCAAAAACTAAAAATAACACATAAAAAACTACTATACTATAGTTTTTCTTTTTGGTGTGTGCTGTGGAAAGTAAATTTTTATTCTGATGACTTTTATGCTGTGACAATAAATAATTATTCAAAAATATGTATGTACATATTGTTCACTATTTCTAGAAACCGCCTATCATCAAACGCGACGTACATAGCTGCAATGGATGCAAAAACATGTGAATATTTTATAATATTCTAATTTTATTTATGAATTTGTTTTACGTATTGATAATTTTGTTTCAATTATTGGCTAAACACCTGCTGTTTTCGTCTTTTAAGACCGTTTGTATGTCAGCTATATGCTTCAGAAGTCCGATATCGACGGTTCCGACAAATGAGCAGCTTCTTAGGATGTGTGCAAAATTTCTGAACGATATCTCAAACACTGAGAGACCAGTTCGTTCGTGTTAAATTTACATAATTGGATACTCATTTAATTCCTGTAAATATTACTAATTCACCCATGTTCATATGAAAGCGTGAAGTAATCTTTCTCATACTTTTAGTATCAAGGTCACGATTCACAACAGGTTTTAATATATGTATAACATATGTTCCACTACTAGAGAAAATCAATCTGATTTATTTATTATTGTATATATTTTATATATATTGTATAGTTTTGCTGTATTAATGGAACTATTATACATTATTTAAAAACCATGAAAGCAGTTAAACATTTTTGAAATATGTAATGAAAAAATGGGGCGTATCTACCTATAAATTCTTCACATAAAGGCTGCGATTACTCCTGTCATAAATATCACGAATTATCAAAGTTAATTTCTATCTCTTTCTCATTTGCAAAAATAAAGCATTGTGATTTCAACACATACATATATTCATACGAGTATACATATATGTATATGGAATGCCCTTTAAAGCTAATTCTATGCAATTTTTTCACCTATGCCGTCCGCTTTTATACATACATACATATGTACATACATATGTAATTTAATGGGGCTGCTGACACCAATTCAGCCACTTCATGCATTACAAATGTTTATATACATACATAGGTATGTACTCATAAATATTTGCCAGAAAAATCAGGCAGTTAAAGAGTTGTAGTCTATGTATGTATGTATGCATGTACAATACATATGTTTATATGAGTGCTCGCTTAATTACACCCACCCTCTTTTGTATGTATGTATATGGAAAACGTTGATAGTTTTGCGATTTTTCTCTCAGTCTGGCGCAAGAACTCGCCACCTTCGATACCCAATGCTTCCAAAATTTCAGAACTTCACTAGTGTATTTGAGATATTAGCCGTGGCGATCCCGACGTATTTGTGCCCAGCAGCGTCTTAGATACTTATTGCTTTTCGCCTCACAAGAAACTTTGTTGTTGCCTTTTGTCTGAAAAAACTGCTTTATAACTATGCGTCTGCATATAAAAATAAAAGAGAGTCTGCATTTTAGTGTTGAGTCTGCCGCCTTCCAAGATAGCGTCTGCCGCGCCGCGTTTGAGTGAAAATCGCCGCTTTGCTTGGCAGTAGTAAATATAGCGCGCAAAGATCTTTCGCCGAGTCTAGACATAACGTTAGACAGCCTGCGTGTTTCACTCGTCGGATGTACTTTCTTTCTTCATTAAGTTTGCCACGAAGTTTGTAACGCCCGAAAGGAAACGTCGGATACCCTATAAAATATATGTATATACTTGTATAAATGATCAGCTGAGTCGATTTAATCATGTCCATCTGTCCGTCGTACAAGAAGCTGCTCATTTGTCGGAACGGCTGATATCGGACCACTATAGCATATAGCTGCCATAAAAACTGAACGATCGGAATAAAGTTCTTCTAGGGAACCTTTTGTATTTGTGAAGGGTAGGTGCAACCGAAGTTAATCTTTTTTCTTGTTTTGGTTTTTTATCTGCAATTGCATCGACGGTTGACTGCAATATATTTATAATTTATCTCAACATGAAAAGCTTGCCTTATTTACGGAATCGTAAACGATAGGAACGAAAGTATAGCGCAAAAAATTATCGGTTCCAAACCAGAAAATGATCACACAGCGAAAGTTAATGCAACAACTCAATTGAGTCCCATTGCGGCGGAATATGTATATTAATACCCATATATCCATAAAAGTCATGCAAAAATAAGCAGACAATAAAACAAGAAAGTCAAATCAATATATGAATTCATACTAAACGCGCAAAGCAGCAAAGCTTATGGCGTCTCATACATTCACTTTCATGCCTCCCCAAAAATATCATCATCATTGCAGCGATCAACGAACGATACACTAACAAGTAAGGAGCGGTTGGCGAGAGTGTCGTCTGATGCACACCATGTTGCATTGTAACATGTGATGAATGCCCGTCTTCTAATATACAAGTATGTTTAAATACCATCAGATGTACTGTACATACATACACACTTATGCATAATGAACGTATTCCATTTCCACTCTTTATATATGGGTCTCAAGAAGCGACGGCGCACGCATTTCATACAACAGTTCCTAATGTGACTCCATTCTCTTAGACAAGAGAATGACTACATTCGGTGCCATATCAGGACTATACGGTGAATGACCCATCAAATCGTTGTTTTGAGTGCTTAAAAACCTCGCATTGTTGTGACGAATAGTGGTCCGTCTTTTGCGGTTGGTTTTCCTAATTTTTTGAAAGGCAACTGGCAAATAAATCCATGATTTATCACCTGTCATAGGCGTGTTTCGAAGTACCGTTATCGTATTTTTTTAACATTTCTCTCGACCACGATACGAGCCGTTTTTTGGGTGATTGACGAATTGTGTGGGATCCAACGTGAACACATTTTTTTAGTCAATTGTTCGTGCAATACTGGTGTATGCTGGTGCCACTAAAGCCTATTGTTATATCAATCTTACGGTAGGTCAAATGAGGATCAAATGAGCAATATCATTTTACGCACAGCATCAATAGTTTCCGGAACAACAACTGCTTATGGACGACCTTCGCGCAATTCGTCTTGGAGTGATCTACGCCTCGATTGAGAGTTTATCCATGTCGGCAGTTGTAAAAAATAATCGATCGAAAATGTTCGCGTTTTAATTCCATTTTTTGACCGAGATGAATACTTTAAGTTACTGTAAACAACACAAATAGCGCTCATATGTCAAAACGGTCTGACTATGTATAACACCAAAAATGTCAAACTTTACAATAAAGTTGTAAGTTGCCAGATTGCAATATTAGGTTTGCCAAATCCCGAAATATAAAAGGCAACCTGCGTATATCTCAAAAATAAACAACAAATATTTGCATTTAATGAATCCCCCTCACATAGCTGTATACCAGAAGTGTGTAAAATTAATTTCGGTAACACGCCTCTTATTTCCAAACTGTTGAATGTGTATTTATCTTAAGGCTTTAATCATTTCCTATTTATGGCTTTTCACCACATTAAGTGTATTTTTAATTACTGGCTTAGTCCGGACGTCACCTTGTCAATCAGAAAATATCAAAGTCAAAGGTTGACTCATAGTGAAATTATGCAAAGCATAAAAGACAAAAGCTTTAAAAGCTGGTTTGCACAAACAAATATGTATAAATATATAAAGGAATATTTCTTAAAGCAATTAATAGTAATACCTCGTCCTCTTCCTATCAATAAACCATGGCCTTAGTATTTTTTATATATATTTGTAGATAAGTGCATAAGCAAGTATGGAAAAGTCGCCAGGTGAATTTTTTTTTACTACGCCTTACCTCACCGACCATTGACGGTAACGAAGAGCACGATAAGTAGCAGTGAGCATCTGTTTTGCACAGAATATGCGCCAACTCATTAATGGAACATCATTGTATCTGCTTATCTGGCAGTACACGTCGGTGGCTTCGGTGCGTTTCTCTGCACAGGCGTGCGCATTAACTCTGCCACATGCTCCCATACAATTGTGTATTTTGAACCTTATCGCCTTACTAGTGCAGCACGCTTTTAAACCGTTCGCTACCCGATGTCTTAACTACACCGTTCGATGCCTTGCTCAATTACGAGTCAATTGCAAGGCGTACATTTCAGCTTCTTTGTCGGTTCATCGGTTTCAAGTGTGTGCACCGGACTGTGTATGTGTGTTTTATTGTTATAATTTACTTTTTCTCGCCTGCAGTACATTTGCAGCTGCCGGTTTCAAAATTTTGTAAATATTTTCAACCTTGCTGCAGAAACCATGCCCAAACAAACATATCATACCACATGTCTAAATATATCGTAAGTACATGTGTACATATGTATGTATGGTATGTATTGCAGCAAACACTGTGTAAGACACAGTGGATGAAATGATGAATCTCTATTTCTATTTTATTTAAGATTATGCCGTCAAAAATTCTCAATAAATGATAAATAATAAATAAACTATTAGTTTTTAGTTTTTCTACGAATTTTTTTAATAACCTTGTTGTTGTTATTGAATGGGATGAAGTGTTTTATATAGTAAAATAATGCGTTTGATTCGTGTTCGATCGTAATTGCAATACACAAACCACCCTAGACTTTGACCATAATAAGCGTTTCTACAAAAATTAACTGCCATGTACGTAGTATAATTTTAATGCCAACATTTTTTTTTTCAGCTCAACCACAGATTATCTTGGCAAAAAATAAATGTTTAAAGTTGTCAAATAACGCTTTATCATTTCAAGAACTCACCTTAAGTATCAGGTATTTGCTTCCGAGAATTTGTTGATTGTTAGGAAATCCACTTCCGCCGGAAGGCACAATATCGTTTTTGTTGTTCTATATATGCATTTATTTTTTAATTTTTGTTGATAAGAAAACACTTGACGCACCCCAAATCGAATAGAATCTGCACCGAGCGTTTGAATGACGTATCCAATGCCAGCTTGTCGGTTATTTATTGGAAGCTTCTCTCAGCTATCTCAAAATTATTACAGTAAATATGTTTTTGTTATCGTACATTAATTCTGGCGCTCAATCGAGTTTATTTAAAAACATTAATTTGTTCGCGCAATTTGTCACAAGCAATACACACATATGTATTACCGCTCGTGCTAAAAATTAATGTTAGTATATGCACATGTGTGTGTGTGAATTATTGCGCTTCCGTTGTGACTAGACGATTTGTGTGCGTTTTAAAATTTTGCGTTTTTGCTTTTCCAGTTAAAGTTGTTGGGTTATGTGTCGGTGGTGCTTTGATATTAGTCGACTTACTTTGAATTGACAAAGGTACCTCGGCGATATTTATATTTAAGGTATTTTGTTGTTTCTATGTTTTGCATTATTATGATTTATTTTCTAGTTGTTTTTGTATTTATTTTGAATAGTTGTCTTATCTGTGTATATTTCTAAATAAATAATATAGCTGACTCAGCTTTGTGGGCACTACATCAAATATATATCACTTTTTAAAAGATTTTTATAATTCGAACCTGATGCATACACTGATTTGTTTTCTTTCCTTTTTACTAAATCATAATTCACAAAGTTTTTGATGTTGTACCACCGTTAACGATCGTTATGCGCTGTTTGACTCAGTGTACTTTTAAATGTATGTAGCTGTCTATCATTTTCTGCTAGTTATTTTGCTAATGTTGCACGCTGTCTGCTGATACACACATACAAACACATATAGGCGAAAGTAATCGCCGCACTCTTGTAACCTGCGCTTTGAACTACTTTTTGAAAGTTTCGAAAGTTTTACGTCTTCGTTGTCACAGCTCTCCGTCGCTATCGCCAGACGGTCTTTATGTTGTGCAATATGTTTTTGCTTCTTTACTCTAACTAAGCGTCTTATTTTTTTCGATTTATTTCGCAATGCGTGTAGTTGCAAGCGCGTAAACTAACGAAATTTTAACAGACTTTTGTTTTATTAAATTTTTTCTAAATCGCACTTCTACTACGTATTCTTTTTTCATTGCGAATATTTTCTTCCACAACTCAGCACTTCTTCATCACAATTAACTCTCGATGAAAAATAGTAAGCACTTGTATTTAATATGCAATGCCCGCTTTGTCTCAATAGAAACGCCTTTTTCTATTATTTTTTACACCGTTTACTTGCGTGCATTAATACTTATGTATAATAAGATATAGCTCACTTCACCAAATGAGTTTTGGTTCTGTGTGCGCTGCTAGTTTTGTTATTCGGTGGCGCAGTATGCTGCCAGAGAATATAAAATGTTTGATCAGAGAATAGATATTACGTTCTCTGGTTTGATTCTCTGCGAAGCTCTTCTGTCAGAGAACGTATAACCAGAGAACTTAAAACAAAGTCTCTGGTATAACATAATATCAGAGAACTTAAAACAATGAGAAGGTGCAGGTTCGACAGCGAACAATTTGTAGGAATTTATCAAGGAGTTCACCACAGATGCACGAGAAACAAATAACATTGTTTGTGCCGTTTCAGACAGGGATGCAAAAGAGTCTGATCTTTTTCAAATTTTCTTTTGGTGTCGCTCTGGGCATTCACACGGTCAAAAAGAGTCCAGCAACTCGAGTCTAGTTTTTCTGCATTCCTTTTCACAAAATGTTCGTAAATATTTGTGCGGTTCGACTGCGCAACACCGCGCAACACTGCATGCTGCGTATTTCATTTGTATGTTGAGATGATGGTCACACATTTTGCTTGCAATGAATTACCATGAATATGGTAGAACAATATGCATAATACAAGTACCTACCCGCTAAATAGTTTCAAAAAAATACTAAAGACGGGAATTCCCTAATCCACAAGAATGTATTGAATATCCGCAACTAATATTTTCAAGGCCAAATTTATAATAGCAATTTCCTAATCTTTAAGTATTAAAAACTCATAATTTCTTTACTGCGTATTAAAAATTCATAATTTCTTTACTCCATAATCTATATCTTAATTTTCTCCTTATTTACAATTTGTCATAATATTTCTATTATTCTATGCATACGTATTTGCATATTACATACAAAAATAGATAACAGAACTCAAATTTGCGATCGAATTCATTTGAAACCGAGCGCTCTTGCAACCATTCAAAGGATTTGAAAGTGAAAAGGAATGCTGAAAAGGGTAGCAGCGAGCTGTTACGAAAAAGAACACAAAGCGTGCCACCCGAACACGAGTGGCACGGTCCCTTCGTCTTTCCTCGTCGTCCCCTCGCCCACAATAAACTGGTTTGAGACTCTTTTGAGTCCCTGTCTGAAACGGCACAAACGGCACTTTTAAGTTCTCTGATAATATACGTTCTCTTCTCTGCTTCTGTCAGGTTTACTGTATTCGGTTCGTTCCAATTTCTGCAACATGTTCGAGACGGCATTGGTCGGAGCGCATGCCTTTATCTGGGTTAATATGCGGAAACTTTTGTTGCTCATTATCGGAAAATTCTCTTTTGGTGTTGCCCATTGCGTTCACACAAGCGATATATTTTTTTCATTTACACGATGCTAAAACTATTTTTCCTTAAATAATTTGTATCCTTATTTACGATCAACGGGGTGACTTGTATAAATCTACAATCTAGGCTTATACAATGGTGTAAACGTATACCAGAGAATGTTCATTCAGAGAACTTAGAATTTATTGTTTTAAGTTCTCTGGTTCATTTATGTTCTCTGCGTACACTTTAAATATTTAGCTCTCTGCTTATACCACATTCTCTAGAGTAAATGTTGTACATTTTTATACTCTAGCAACATGTTGCAGACTATATTCATATTATTCACTTAACGGTTCTTTATAAATGATAAATAATAAAAAACTACGATTTGAATTCCGTATCTTTGTCCATCCGTTCGTCCGTGCAAGCGATTACGATTAAGCCACAAATTAAGAAGCTAAACTGAAATTTGATACAGGGTGTCGCAGTCAAAAGTGGACTTAGTCCCGTTCTCTAATAAATTCAATGTACATATCTCACAAACTATTAAGGCTCTATTAAACAAACTTGTTTTCTATTGCTTCTTCTTGTGTGATAATGAATAAAATCGGGTGATAACCACGTCTATCTCCCATATAACGGATTATTGGATACTACTAAAAGTGCGATAACTTATTAAAGAAATTCGTCTGAATCATTAAGCTTTACGTCAAAGATAGATAACAGGAGCTACCCGACCAACTTCAATCAGATTTGGTGCATATTATTATCTTAACGACTTAATGTTACAGTGTGACAAATTTGAATGACAAAAACGCGTAACAGTTTAGCAGTGTATATTGGCTAATAAGTAACTACTGCAGCTCCCACTTACTGCACATAATGATTTTGGTTATCCTAACAGACTTTATACAGAATATATCGGTCAATGTGAGAGTTATTTTGCTAAACTTGTATGGAAACATGTTCTCAAATATACTTAAGTAAGTCTACTCCTTTTACTAGCCCAGCTCCAGCTGACTTTAAAGTCTCTGTGTTAGTCAAATTTGTAATATTTTAATGAAATTAGGTGGACAAGTTTTCTTAAACATGTATTCAGGTGTATGAATTAAATCGGTCTAGACTTTGGTGTTTACTTTATACTCCTAATAAATTGATTTCCGATTATCTGGTTAGCGTTTTCCACATATACCCAATATATTTATATTTTAGATTTACTTTACATATCTCATTTGATATCTAGTGAATAAGATTTCGTCATACGCATTTCATAATTTGTAACTTTCTTCGCAATATGGTTTTTGTGACATCTGTATAAATTTAGATCCGAATATATTTTTGAAATAAGCAAAACATTATTACATTACCCTGCATATTTATGTTTTTTTTTACTAAGATAGTAGCATTTGAACACACACAAAAATTTTATTCAAAGATAATGTTTTCGAATAACGTTAATGTAAATCCTTTCCATATATGCAATTGGTTTTATTTTAATGGCGATGCCGTCGTTAATTAATTTTTTTAGATTCCAATTAGTTTATAACTTTTATACTGATTTATTTGTGGTGCGAAATATAAGTAAAAAGTATTTTTTTTAGTTTCATCTGTCTGCTCTTCTTCGGACCATTTCATTTGCGGTCTATAATTTCTTACTTCTAGCTGTAGACTATTGTATTTTGGGATCAATTGTATATACCTATACCAAAAACCTAAATCAAATTTTCCGAGTTAATAAACTTAATAAAAAACGAGAAAAAACCTTAACTTCGGTTGCGCCGAAGCTATAATACCCTTCACAAATACAAAGGCCCCTTACAAGAACTTGATTCTGACCGTTCAATTTGTATGGCAGCTATATGATATAGTGATCTGATCTGACCAATTTCTGTGGAGAATAATTTGTTGACTTGAGCAATAACTCGTGCCTAATTTCGTGAAGATACCTCGTCAAATAAAAAAATTTTCCATGCAAGCACTTTACTCCGATCGTTAGGTTAATATGGCAGCTATATGCTATAGTCATCCGATCTATACAATTTCTTCAAAGATTAGATTAATGCTTTAAATAATAATACATGCCAAATTTCGTGAAGATACCTCGTCAAATGAAAGAGTTTCCCATACAAACACTTGATTCCGATTGTTCAGATTGTATGGCAGCTATATGCTATAGTCATCCGATCTATACAATTTCTTCGAGGATTGGATTAATGCCTAAAATAATAATACACGCCAAATTTGATGAAGGTACCTCGTCAAATTAAAGAGTTTTCCATACAAACACTTGATTCCGATTGTTCAGTTTGTATGGCAGCTATATGCTATAGTGGTCCGATATCGGCCGTTCCGACAAATGAGCAGCTTATTTGTTAGAAAAGGACAGGTGCAAAATTTCAAAACGATAGCATAAAAACTGAGGGACTAGTTTGTATATATACAGACAGACGGGCAGACGGACAGACAGACTGACTAAATGAACTCAGCTTATCATGCTGATCATTTATGTATATATTTTATAGGGTCTCCGACGTTTCCTTCTGGGTGTTACAAACTTCGTGGCAAACTTAATATACCCTGTTCGGGGTATAAAAACTCTAGCAAAGATGGTCATTTAAATATTTTTATAAGTAGCAAAGGTGCTTGATACAAAATCCATTCCAGTCAGCATTCTGCGTGTGGCGATCGAAATTTTAGAAACTTTGCTAAAGGCGCATGAAGAATCGAATTACTGGCACCAGCTCATAAACCGTACTCCCACTCTTAAATATATTAGAAAGATGTAAAGGGCACTCGGGTCCCGCCAACACGCGCACATCTGTGTTTAAATACCACTAGAAAAGAAATAAAATTTCAATTATTCAAGGAAAACAGATGAGTCTACGAAAGTGGAAAGAAGATACCAACACCTTACACGTATATGATCCAATTATTGTATGAGTGTTGTGTCGAGCATCCAAAAGATTTGTTATTGCAGATGGTGTACGCCGCATGCGTAACAAAGGAACAAAACTACGTATGTTACCTATATTGCCACGTGATGCTTTTAGGTTCACTTACACACTTATTTATAGTATGTACACCCTGAACAATTAGTCGAATGTTTTTAGTGATGAACTGAACACCCGAGGTTATCAGATTGATTGTTGATCCTTTACGCAATATTTATGATGACCTTTAAATGCAAACGTATGACAATATAATATTGTTTTAATACGTTTAACTCAGTTAAAAAAATTTACTCCATTTAACCTTGAATTGGAACCTTTCTACTTTTTATGATCCCACCATTTATTGTTTATTTCTCACATTATCTAGATATGGATGTACTCTAATCATGAGCACTAAAAGAGAAAGACATTCGTAATTTGTTAATAATTGATAAGATATTTGTACAACTACACATTTTATACAATATACAAGTATGAAATTCAATCATAAAATAAAAACAAACTACATAAATATCGTTAAATTATATCGGAAAGGAAAAACGTTTATTCTTTTTGAGCGGCACGCCTGGCATTAATTTACTTCAAAGTAAATTTAGAAAAAAAAAGTATTTTCTCCTTCATTCATGGTCACGTTTCGAATAGGCAGGAAATCCTTGCAAGCAAAAATCACATTGAAAACAAACAAAACTCATAGATATGCACACACATACAGAGTAGATGAAAGCACACGCTACCTTTAGATATATATGCTGGCAATTGCAGCTGCTTCCGGGTATTTGTTAACATCCGAAGTGATTGAAAAACACTAGCGAGCCTACTACTGGCTCATCCTAAGTAAACATCGTCGTTATCATCGTTACTTGATCGAAGCCGCAGTCGTCGCGTTGCTTAATTTGTGCGCATGCGTACACACACGTCATATGTATACGCAAAACCAAATCAAATATCGTCTGTTTTGAATGACTAAACCAATCTGAAGGACATTTCTCGCTTTTTTAGACACCCCCTCAAGAGTTGGTGAAAAATCGGTAAAAATAACATTGGCATTTAACGAAATTAACGGGAGTCTCCTCAA